AGTTATGATGGTGCCTACAACTCCAAGATACAACCCAAAGCCTCATAAGATATCTGATCCGATATGCACGCCAACGGCAGACGGGATTACCAAGTAGTGATCAATTGCCCAAGAATTATAAAGTATGAATGTAAACTAACAAAGATGTGAGAACTGAGGAAGACATAAAAGTTTTGCATATTATGTTTTCTGTCTAAGGTTTCTTATTTAAAGAACTTCTCATACCCTTTTAGAAAAAGAAGTGTTATTGGCACTCCAAAATTCTCATTCTACACTCCTCACAAGTGTATTTTTCTTTCTAAATATATAAAGTTTGGAGTGTAGAATGAGAATTTTGGAGTGCCAATAACAATTCTCTTTAGAAAAGGATTATGACTCTTCAAATAAAACACAACTCTTAAATATTAAAAATAAATAAAATAAAATAAAAATAATTTTTGAATCTTTAAAATAAAATATAATTAAAATAATTAAAATAACCAACAGTTTATTGGTAAAAGCATTTGCACCCCCACTCAGGTAATTACTGTCCGTATTTTGATAGTTAATTATATCTTAGTGAATAGTAATTGTGCGAGTGCATTTTAACCTTTAAATGAATTGTTTAGACAATTGGTATAAAAATTATTTTTTTTAATGACAAAAGATAAAGGGATCTATGTTTAATTTGGGATCCGGCACTTGTCATTATCTGAAATTATAATTTTTTGTGAATATATTTTAAATTAGATTTTTAACCAATCTTGCAGCGACACATGTTGTGATCCTGTAAGAATTTAGATTTCCAATAAAATTTTAATCAATTTCGTCGCACTACGTGTCGCTATTTGTTCATAATCTTTGTGGATAAATTTCGATAAGATTTTCAACTAATCACAGCGTGCCACATAACATTATCTACAACCTCATCATTTTTTTTTCTCCATATAAACCCTACATCCAATCTAAACTCAGACACCAAAATCAAAATCTCTCTGAATTTTTCTTCATATTGTATAAATCTAGAGTTCTTACAATGTCTTCTTCAAGGGGATTGTTAGAAATCAAAGAGCAACATAAAAAATTAATTGAGCAAGAGAATGAATTGTTCGATTTCCAGGAGCAAGAAAATGAATTGTTCGAAATGGAAGAGCAAGAGGATGAACATAGAAGGAAAAGAGATGCACATACTTATCGTGTCGTGCAAGCTATGACGATAATCTGCAAACCCAGTTGTTCTTGAAACCTCAATAAAAGGAGAGAACAACGAGGTAAGTATGTCTTGAAAGTTTACTTAGTCCCCAATAGTGTCTACTATGATAGGTGACCCTTTGGGCCACCTGCATTTGTGCATACCTAATCATTATATATAACTCTTTGCAAATGAACATGTATATCAAATATCACTTTTTTATATCTTTAACCCTCTGTGTAGTTAACACGTATTTGAAACATCATCTTTAAAAATATTTAGTGAAACGAAAATTGAAATTGAATTCCATTTAATGACGGTACAGTTTGCTACGAAGCTAAAAACTGATGGGGTTGCCTAGAGTACGATGGGAACTTTGTAGATTTTGTGTGGTGGAAAAAGGTTTGTGGCGCTTGGCCCACATGCAGGAGAGGTTATTTGGGCTAAGGAGATTTCTTTCCGGATTCTTTTTGTTAGAATTTTGAAAATTTTCTAATCACATCCATTCATCGTATATCGTATGGTCAGAAATTATTATAAATTTTTTTATTTAAAATTAAATATAAACAGTAACTGACAAAAACTAATTACACGATATACGATAAACAGATATAAATTAAAGAATTCTGAAATCCTCACAAAGAAAATCCGGACATGATTCTATTTGGGAGATGGTCCACCTAATAAGTTAGGCAAAAGTACTATTTTACTGTCTATGTGTATTATTTTTATAGTAAAGATAAGATCTACATACATTACTGGCTATATTTTTATTAAAGATAGTATAAATAATTATACAAATAAAAAATATGTCTACTACTCAAATTAACGGGGTAGCTATAAGTTGTTTTATACGTGTGGGCCCTAAGAAACACGTAATCCGGTCTTCATACTCTATAATTTCTCCGCAAAGAGTAGCCTGTTCCATTTTAATAACAAAGAAAATATAGAAAACTAATAAAATATGTCTCACAATTTTTTTTATTCAAAAACACATAACGAACTTTTTTTTTATATTGAATTTGTTTCATTGAAAGTCAGGATTATACGAAAAAATATTATATTGAAGTTGGCTTCATTGAAAGTCGTGATTATAAGTTGAAATTTGCCTCATTCAACTACTTCTTCACTTACCGTCAATAGTTTTAGTTTTTTTAATTAGAAAGTAGCTTCTACGTGGGGCAGTAGAAAAAAGTAGAACTCTTTAAAAGGTTAGGATCTAAAGACACATTTTTTACATACATTTTTATGAGACTTGTTTTTTAATATTTTTTAAAGCATATAATAGAAATTGTTTAGGATTGAGAAAATGCTGGTAATTGATGAAGAAACAGTTGCTGGTAATTTATGAAGATACAATTACGGGTAATTTATGAGGAAACAGTTTTCGATAATTTATGAATCAAACTTCAACTTAATTATGATACCATCAATTGCGCCCAAATTCAATATAATTATGATAGTGTCATTGCTCCCTTGTTTTTGTCCTTGTAATTTAAAAATTGATTGAGTGTAATTGATTAAAATTTTGTTATGCGAGCCCTTTTCATCGAAGTTCCTTTATAAATATGAATACTTTAGATTCACAAACGAGAGACTTAAGAACAAGCCTTTTTAAAATTTCACTTCAAATTTCAAATTGGAGACAAGTGTGTCGTGGACTCATATTCATTCACATAATTGTCAATATTATTCATATTATAATCACGAATTTAACCATCGGTTGTGCCCTCATAATTATAAGGCTAAATCGGATTAATGATTCCCGTGGTGATAAGGCTAAATCGGATTAATGATTCTCATGGTGATAGGGTAGTTGGAAGATAGCTCTCGTGGTGAAAAAATTCTGATTTAAACCCTCATGGTAAAGTCCGTTATGATTCAAACCCAAAATTAACATTTCCATCAACTCTCTGTTAACTCATTCAACGTTCATAACCAAAAGGGATAAAAAAAAAAAAAAAAATCGATCTCATTCATCCAAGGCTATGAATTCTTTACTCATGCTTCGATTTCATTCAAAGCTCTTTGTCCATCAGAACGACTAGATTTTTTAAAACCAGCATGAGCCAATTCAAGTAACATTGAAAATCTTAGTTATCATTTTTTATGTGGAAACTTTAATTGAATTGCTTGTTTGTTAAATTAATAGAAAACTAGAGGCGATATTGGGAACGCCAAAACTCAAGATCTTAGCTGAATTTTTTAAAACAATTCTTCAATCTGATTGATAACGGAGAATCGGAATTGATCAACAGAAACTGGGTAACAATGAGATAGGTTTGAATGTTGGTGAGGAGTGATTCGGAATTGAAACCAGCTTTCAAAGTTTGGATATTTGTTCAGCAACAATACCATGACCAACGAAGGGAAGCTAAAAAGCTCGAGAGAGAGAGAGAGAAGTCTGGATAGACAATGAGAGAGAGGATGGATGCAGAGAAGCAGGTAGGACCCGGTGGGAGCGGGAGTCCAACATAGATTAGAGTCATTAGACTTTTGTATTCTGGCTTTTGATGTTAATAATCGTCATCTCATGCATCAGCTAAATGGGAAATTAACATCCCATAGGATTCTTGTAAATCAATCTCATGTAACTATTTTTACAGAGGAATGAAGCAAAGGAAATCAACGCTTCCAGAAATACTTTCACATCTTAGTTTGGTTTTCTACATAGATGTTAACAGAGAGTTGACAGAAATGTTACGTTTGAGTTTGAATTCTAACGGACTTCACCACGAGGGTTTGTATCCGAATTTTTTCACTACAAGGGTAATCAGAGGGTCATCTTCTGATTACCCTATTACCACATCGAATATTAATCCAATGCCTAATTATAAATACATTGAGTATGGGTTAACGATTTCACCAATAATTCATAATTAATGGAAAAAAACGTTTTGATCACATAATGCAAGCAGCATAAAAGGCTATAATCATGAAAAAAAAAATAACTACCAAATCACGAATCAAACCATAAAACATTCAAATACAAAACTATGACAACCGAAAACAGGCATATAGTATTAAAAAAAAAAGGAGTTTTAACGAAAAACCTGCGGTACTGTTCATTTTAACCAAAAACGACATTTTTACACTAAAAAGTCAAACCTAGTAATATACATTTTACCCTTTATTTTGTCATTATCGTTAAAACTCAAAGTTTTCAAACACTTTTCATTAGTTTTCCTTAAAAAAATATAAAGTGAGCTGGGGACAATTACGGTTTCCTCGCATTCGTCCCCATACATACCCAAATTCTCATTTTCATATAACCGTATTAAAAAATTTCGGTTTCCTAGCATCCGTCCCCATATATACCCAAATTCTCATTTTCATATAACCGTATTAAAAAATTTCAAAGTTGCTTGTTAAAGTCCAAAATGATAATTATACAATGTTTTAGCTCTTTAGCCATCAATCATACTTATCTTCTGATTAGGAAAAAGTTAATAAAAAAACTTCTCTCAATCTCTTTCGGACCACAATCTGGTTTGGTACTGAGGTGATTCTGAAAAAAGCTGATATCAAAAAAAGCTGGGAGCTGTTTTTGTGTTTGGTAAACATTCAGCTTCAGCTTTTTTTCACAGTTTTGGGTGAAAAAAAGCCAAAAACAAGAAGCTGCAAAACCAGCTTTGAAAAACTGGCTTTTTTTTCACATCTGTTTTATATAAAAGTTTACCAAACACTATAATACTGCTTTTTTTTTTCAAAAGCACTTTTACAAAAAAGTTTACCAAACACTCTGCTGCTTTATTTCACAGCTGCTTATTCTCACAGCACAGCAGAAGCAGCTTTTTTTCAAAGCACAGCAATACCAAACCAACCCCACCTCCCCCACTTCCCACTCTCTTACAAAGGTCTATAAATAGGGAGAGCCAAACCACATTATACTACACAGCAATCCTCTCTTATATACAACCTTCAGAAACCATTACTGTGCTTCCTTTGTATTAATATTGTTCGGAAAATTATGGCATCCTCAAGGACTTTTCTTCTTCTTGGCCTAGTCTTTGCTGTTCTCCTTCTCTCCTCTGAAATCTCAGCTCGTGAGTTTATTCTCCATTTTTTAACTAAAACTTGTTTAATCAGTAAGTAGAGCGAAGGAGTAAAAACATCATGTCCTCAAGTGCATGCCAAACAAAATTGTCTTCCAAGCAACTTGAACAATATATATCTTAATTGGTTGGAGAACGAAACATATATTGCTTCTAAGAACTTCTGAATCGATGTAAAAACATGCTGTTAATTATTCATTTTGTATGTACTGCTTGTGGCTTTTGTACGTGCATGCATATCTTGATTTTAGACCTTCATATAATTGTTAAGTGATGTATATATATTTCAACATTTTATTTCTTCTCTATTTGTAAAGTTCTACTCTCTTTTTTCACCCCTAGAGGACAGCGTAGAACAGGCCAGCGACCAAGCTAAAGGCCATGAGCATGGACATGACCACGGTCACGGAGGGCATGGACATGACCACGGTCGTGGAGGGCATGGACATCACCACGGTCACGGAGGTCATGGCCACGGCCATGATGGAAAACTGGGAGTTGCAGAGACTCAAACAAAGAATTAGCCAACCTCTTAGCGTCTATGTGTGTTGTAAGAGTCGTATAATATGCAATAAAGTTGTATTGGTTGAGTAGTTTATAAACTCTCAATCATATATAGGCAGCCTTTAAGCTTTATCTTGTATTCGCTTAATCGATCACCTTAGCATGTGTTCTCTTAATCGATCATTTTGGTATGTGTTGCGATGTGCTTTAATTTTCTCAGTAAATATTTGCAAAGTTAAAAATGTCAAGCATTTCAAGTCTACTATTAAGGAGTTTCTTTGGATACTCATCATTTTGGTGACAATATTTTTTTCGATTATTGGGCTTGTGATTTAAATTTGGGACATCTTCTAACATTAGGAAGTGAAGTACCACTTCAATACCATTAACTCGTTCGTCCGATCATTATTTGGTTAAAGAATTATTTTGTGCACTGTTGACAAGGGGTTTGGAAGCTCTAGCTATGGTAAAATAAGAAGTTAGCTGTTGAGCTATACAAATACACGCTATGAATGAGGTGGTGATTGTATTGTTGAAAGGTCCATACTAATTTTCAAATTCTAGTGGATGTATTCGAAACTATTAGTTCTTTTGTTTTTCTGCAAACAAATATTATGGAGGCAACAACTTTATAAAATGCATGGGTAGAGATTCTTAATCAATGACGTACAAACCTTTACTTATTTAGAAACCATTCTCAATACTTAAGGAACCCAAAATTCTACCATCATGGGAGATGTATGGACCAAACTGTTAACCTAAAATTCTAACCTATTTTGCTACCCTTTCTCGCCACTTTTCCTCTCTAACTCTAAGACTCACTCCAACCCTTGGGTTAGAACCTAAAATGTTCCCCCCCCCCCCCCCCCCCACCCAAAAAAAAACCCAAAAAAAAAAAAAAAAAAAAATTCTAATCTATTTTGCTACCCTTTCTTACCACTTTTCCTCGCTAACTCTAAGACTTACTCCAACACTTGCGTTAGAACCTAAAATGTCACCTTCCCTTCCCCCAAAAAAAGAAACTTGCTCCAACTATTTGGCCAAAAATCAGCTTTAGGCTAAAATTGATTTTTGGGCAAACTTAACCCAAGAAACCGACCAAAGTAAAGCCCCTACCCACTCTTGTGCATCGACGCGCCCATGAAATAGGTGAGCCGCAGCCAAGCAAAGTGCGAGATGCACGAAATGCGCCAAGGCTGACAATGCGCGAGCCCTAGGTTGACGCCAATGTCAGCCACAATCAATTAGCCCAACTACTATAACAATTTAAAAAAAAAATTATTTATATTAGGATAGTCTACGTAAATTTTATTTTTCAAACAATTATTTTAGACAATAAATTTTGACACACCCCGACCTGGAATGTCCACTTGGACTTCGAACCGAGCCGTGCTGGCCAACACCTGGAAGGTGACAAAGCCATAAAGTGTAGTGATGTGGAAAATGTGTATAAACTTAAACCTAAAAGTGCCTAAGTAATAGAGTGTGTGGTGAGCGGGAATGAACCTATTTCAAATGTGATGTCAGAGCATAAGTACAGTACAGTAAGATAGGGTGAGAATTATATCATCGAAGGTAATCGTCTACACCAAGATTTGCCAAGAATCCTCATCGACATGTAAGCTCAGCAATAAAACCTGGAGGGGCGAAAAACAAGGGTGAGTGGACCTAGAAACAAATCTTTGTAAAAAATCATTTTCAAAAACATAATAACCCCTCGTTGTAAAACCATTATAATTTCCAAAATATACAAACTACGTATAGTAAGAAAATACTTACCGTAGCCTGCAAAATCTCAAGAATTCATTATGGCATAATATCTCGTAAATAAGGGCATGACATCCATAATCACAAAATCTCACATAAGCAACATATCATATCGGGTGCTCATCGACACATGCTGACACACGAGTTGATGTAAGGGTATTCTGACATGAACAAGACTGGGTGTAAGAATAATATACATTGTAGTAATACAATCACGTGAAGACTAGCGCTATGTGGAGCACATACGAGTTAGAGTTGCCCATGGCAACCTGTATGACAGGACTAGCACCTACAATGGATCCAAAGTGAGCGTATAGTGCAATGTGCACATACACATGAAAGACTGGCCATGGCCCGGGCGAGTACCAACACCAGTGCAACAAACGATGAACAGATAACATCAATATAGTCATGCCACAACCATTCACCAATTCTAATCAATATCATACTATTCATGACCATAAATATAATCACGGCATCTCCTTATAGTAAGCTTACCTGTGCATCCCGTAGGATTATTTCATGGTAATTGCATAAAGAATTTATTAATGCTTGTATATATGGAAACTAACCAATATATATAAAGAAAAGACCCACTCACAGATCATGTCGTCGAGTCGAACCCGCCTTGTAGCATCGAGATTCTTTGCGATGCATTTCGCCTAGAAACGAAGCCATTTAGGTAAAATAATGTGCTAATGAAATTACGCGTTTTCGTACAAAGTATGGCTAATAAAAGAACTATCCTAAAATGGTCAAATTTTAGAAAATGGAAGGCGGATTCGGAATCAGCGCGTCGAAATGCGCTAAGGAGGGTCCCTGTCAAATTTTACAAAAAGTCAACGGTTAATCCTAAAAGTCAACCGATGTAAATATTATCTGGGATAACTCACTAATTAATATAGGCCCACTAAACCCTACCTAGTCTCTAGTACTACTGAGTTTAATATTTAAGATCAATTCGTAGCATATTGTCCAAAAGTCAAGTCTCTATCAAAGGTGAGGTCCACAACCCTACACAAGTTAATCTGGAACAACTGCCCATGGATTTCCGATCTGTAACATCCCAAAGTCCACACTATACTTCTAGAACAACATACTAAAACTTCCTTATAATCCAACGGTTGGATCTCCGCCAATCACAAATTTGGCGGTCAACATTGGATTTTACAAACTTTAGAAATTCAATTTAGGAAGATCCGTACTTTAGATTCCCGATTCATAAGTTCCAAATGTCTACAAATATTACGTACTATCACGTATTAAAGTTTGGTACCAATCCAACGGTCGGATTGTCCATTCATATAATAACCAAATGGCAGCCAACTAGGCGGTCCTCTGCGAAACTATATTAAAACATTAGGATTTCACTAAATAGATGTCAATTATGGAATCAGGGCATCAAATTAGCCTAGGATGGTCTGGTGGGGTCTCAACCCACGCGCCGCTGCACTTGGCGGCCGGCCACCCTGACTCGCCTGAAAAATCAACTATTTTCAAAAATTACCAAATTTCACAGAAATGAAGATCTCAATGAGTAGAGCAAGTTTTATACCTTTGGCCAAGTCCAATTTGACCGGGAAAATCCCCAATTTCACTCGAACTCGCCGCAAACCCTAGAAATGGGTGGCTTCAATTTACCTACGGTGTTCCACCGCCCCTACAATTGTTTGGGCTTTGTTCCAGGCCTCAAGAAGAGTCTAATGGTGGTGGAGATCAAAGAGATTGCATCTACAATTGGCGGATCGCCGCCTTGGGACTCACGGGGTTGTCGTCTCTGTACACCATGAAACGGGGCCAAATCCCATCGAATTGGAGTGGAAAATTAAAGAAGAATAGCCGGTGAGAAGTTTCCAGGTGGTGGCCTGGTGAAATTTGTCGAAAAATGGCCGGAGGAAATGGCGGAATCTCACGTAAGGTACCGGGTTTGAAACGGGTCACGGGTCTGGGCCAAGTTCCTCTCCTTCTCTCTTCCCTCCTTTCCCTCATTTCTTCCCTCCTTGGTTGGCCACTCTCTCTTTCTCTTCTTTTTCGATTGGGCCTCACTCTCCTCCTTTCTCTCCTTTCTCTCATCTCCCATTGGTCATCTCCTCACCTCTTTCTTTTGATTGGTCCGCACCCTCCTTATCTCTCATTTCTTTTCCAACTCAACCACACATGTGGCACAACAATTATTTGCTCCAGAAATTTGGAGCCTTCCAGAAAATAATCAATTGACCATTTTGTCCTCAACTTCCTACACTCTTTAAGAAGTTATATTCAAGTGTTGCTAGGGTTGTATTCCGTATCATTGATATGAATCTCAATTGGACTCTAAAATAGCCTTGTAAAACTACTTGCACTTGAAGGAAGAATTTGAAATGAAGAATCTTGACTTGAAGTTTGAGCATTGTTCATAAGTACTCCACCATAAATTAGTATACACCACGAAATTAAGAATGAAGAAGAATGTTGTTGATGATGATGTTTTAAAAAAAATTTGGTCTTAAGTTAGATTTGATCCAAATCTGATGCTTATTTCATATGGATCAAGTCAAATCTAACAAGCCGAATACGGGCAGGATCTGGTAGTCCAATTGTAAATGGATTCAGATATGAACTAAAGTATTCCGTCTGCAAATGTAGATATGTCCCTTGAAATGCCATCTTATACTATTAATCATGACAAACTACTTATTTTGACTTAGTTGTTGATCATTTACAATATCAATTTATTATTATAAGGAATCACAACTGAAAACCAATTTCTGTTTGGTTTAGTTAATGGTGCTTAATTACATTTTTCAAATAATTAGCAAAAGCCATCTACAACTATGACCACATTGCCACATATTGCGTAGAAACAAATTTTTATGACCTACTAGCTTGGTTATGTTGAGAGTTGTCCCATATCGGTGAGGGACAAGGTTTGTTATGTGCTTATATGGTCTTGGATTACTCCCCATATTGCTAATTGGTTTTATGGTTGAACCTCAATTTCATCATGGTATCAGAGTAGGTTGTCCTCGTGTGAAGCCAAATGGCCACACACGCTCCACGTCACCTAATTGTTGTCCACGTGTAGGCTTGAAAATCCGCCACATGTGTGGAGGCGTGTTGAGAGTTGTCTCACATCGGTGAGGGACAAGGTTTGCTATGTACTTATATGGTCCTGGGCTACTTCCCATATTGCCAATTGGTTTTATGGTGGAACCCTAATTTCATCATGGAATCAGAGCAGGTTGTCCTCGTGTGAAGCCAAATGGCCACACGCGCTCCACGTCACCATTTTGTGTTGTCCACGTGTAGGGTTGAAAATCGGCCACACGTGGGGGCGTGTTGAGAGTTGTCCCACATCGATGAGGGACAAGGTTTGTTATGTGTTTATATGGTCTTGGGCTACTTCCCATATTGCCAATTGGTTTTATGGTGGAACCCTAATTTCATCAAGTTAGATGGCTCATTTCTTACTTAATACATAGTGGTATCAACATATCATCAAACCAAACAAAGCATGCTTTGAAAGAGTTCAAACTACTCGAGGGAATTTGATATGTGTTAGGTAAAAATAGTTTTCGTTTACCACTCTACTGTGAAAAAATGTGGGTGTCCAAAGATCTACCCTCTCTTTCTCTAAACTTTGAAGGTCTATAAATAGAGAAAGCCAAACCACATGATATTCACTTCACTCTGCGATCATCTGTTACCTTCATAATTCTATCCCATCACCTCGTTTTGTTAATTATAAGCAAACATGGCGTCCTCAAAAACTTTTCTTCTACTAGGTCTTGTCTTTGCTGTTCTCCTTATCTTCTCTGAGGTTTCCGCTCGGGAGCTGACTGAGACTGCTCCTACTCAAACCCGTGAGTTTCTCGCTTTCTCAATTAAAATTAATTCTTGTTTCTTTTATTCGATTACGCATTTGTAAATTTTGCTAGGCACATTTTATTCATCATCCACAGATCATCGCAGGTTTTAACATGCATGCTACGAATTTTGACTTTAGTTTCCCACCTGTTTTCTTCTCGAACTTAAACATTTTTTGTTGGGAAAACGAGTAACTTGGGAACAGCCGGATGGTTAGTCACTTTGCATGCATCGGTAGTTACTGCTACTGCACTTACAAGGCTTAATTTTCAGTTTTTGATATCCAACTTAATTGTTTTCATTTTCAAGAGGAGAGCGTTGAAAAGGCTACCTATGGTGACCATTATCACGGATACGAGCATAAACATGGATACGGGCACGGACATGGAGGGCATGAGCATGGCTATGGAAATTGGGAACATGGCCATGGTTACGAGCACAAACATGGAAAGCATGAGCACGGCTATGGACATGAAGGCTATGGACACGGAGGCTACAGATATGGGCTGTGGACGTGGAGAGCATGACCACAGACATTGGAAGCAGCACGGGTATGGCCACGGACATTGGGAGCCCGGGCATGGCCATGGACATTGGGAGCCCGGGCATGGCCACGGCCATCACGGAAAACTCGTAGCTGGCGCTGCAGAGGCTGAATTAGAGAATTAGATATATGACCCTTCAATTTGCCTGTGGTACTGAAGCAGTATGCGTTGCAATAAAGATTTTCTAGTCAATAAAAGCAGTAGTCCATGAACTGTGCGCTTTGGATCTCACAAGATATCATGTCGTGCTGCGACGGGTCGAAAAATTTGTAAAAGCATTACTCTAGTCAATGAACGCGACATACCATACCCACAAATTCACACCATATCTCATGTAGCCCCAAACCCACAAATCCACACCATAGCTCATATCTACATTAAAAAAATGGTAATTTCGTAACTAAAACTAAATTCTCCCCTCAATTGCACTTATAGCCAAGCGTACCACCCCCCTCCAAATTTAGACTAGAGTAATTGTTATATACTGCAATATGCGATTTGATTTGTTATATTCGTGTTGTTTCGAATTAAGGTTCGGACCCCAGCTTGTGTGTTGTGTAGTACCATCGGACTTCAGTTTGGAACCTGTATCTATCCTCTGCAAATGGCGACAATGAAAAACTTCAACCGGAAAAAGGGAGGGGAAAAAATCAAGTACGTATTTGCAAGCTAAATGAATTGATGCTTTATGGGTGGAGACAAATTTGCAAACATCCTGTGTGGCCCAATTCTCTTTTTTTTTCCCCAACCAACTTGAGTTCTACAATATAGTAGTGATTTCAGCTCAATGAGTAGTTATTGAGCATGTCATGTGACACATGGGTTGGTATAAAAATTGAGACAGTAAATATTTATCACTCAAGTCGCGTTCTAAATATTTTAATTAAGAGAATCATCTTTATCAACTAAACATAGTAGGTTTCTTTTTCTTTTTTTTTTTTTTTTTTTTTTTTTAAAAAAAAAATTTAAACAGTTGCTCCTTAAACAAAGGGTATTATGGCATGGTAAGTTTAAGAGAATCATCTTTATCCTTCTACTAGCTAGTTTTTCTCTTTTTCCCGGTAACTACTTAGTTAACATCTCACACATGTAGAAAATGTGTATGGTGCTTCTAGTATCAACTAGTTTTCTACCTTATAAGAAATCTTGGACATTGTCAAAAAGAAAAAAACAAAAAAGAAGAAATCTTAGACATACGAAATACTGAAGTCAAGACTAGACTAGACCAAGACCTAGTTTGAGATTGTGGAGCTTTTAAAAACAACTTAAAAAAAAAAAAAAACTGAAACATTAAAAGAAATCTTGGACATACGAAATACTAAAGGGAGCTACTAGGCCCACTCGCCATTCTTATCTTCTCACCCACCCTATTTCCCCACCTCCGATTAAATTTGAAAACATAACAATACTATCTCTCCACCCACCTATATTCCTAAGTTACCCTTTAGTATATTTTAATTCATTAATTTTTTTTTTTCTTTTGCTAACATTGCATTTCCAAGAATGAAGGTGCCTTTGCTCTTGGAAGATTCATCGAGGATAATATTCTAATTACTCATGAAATCTTCTCATCATTTAAGGGCAAAAAAGGTAAGTATGGTGCTATGGCTATCAAATTAGATCTTGAAAAAGCTTATGATTTATTCACTGGGATTATATTAAATCTGTTTTAATAAGATTCGGATTCAACACTCATTGGATTAACCTCATTATGGAATGTACTACATCCACTTCCTTTTCTGTGTTAGTTAATGGTAAAGCTCATGGCTATTTTCATCCATTGAGGGGCATTAGACAGGGGGGACCCCCTTTTTCCCCACATACTTATTTTATGTATGAAACCCCTAATAAGACAAACAAAATTGGTGGGTCTCCTAGAAACAATGTTGGTCTGCTAACTACTCCTCAAGGGTTTAGAGTTACAAATCTGATGTTTGCGAATGACTGCCTGATCTTTGCTAAAACTACTAATACTACAGCTAGGAATATTGGTAAAGTGTTTAATGACTTTTCCTATACCTCTGGACAAAAAATAAACTTCTATAAGTCGTTGCTTTACTTCTCCAATAACACTCTAAATCATACTAGGAATGATATTGTCAATATCCTCAAAATCCAGCATATGGACAGATACTTAGGGAAAGACTTGTTAATGCTAAAGAGCCTATTATTAAGATCCATAACAAATTATCCGGTTGGAAGGCTAATACTTTGTCTAAGGCGGGGAAGTTTACTATCATTAAAGCAAACCTTTTGGGTGTTCCAAATCTTACTATGGCCTACTTTAAATGCCCTGAAAAGATTACCAAGGCTATAGATAGAGAGAGTAGGAAATTTTTGTGGGGAAAAGACTCCAAACTAAACCCTGTTACGTGGGACAAAATTTGCTTGGCTAAATTAGGTGGAAAGTCTTGACCGAAGATCAAAATTGGTGGGTCCAAATTGTTAAAAATAAGTATTTGAAAAATGAAGATTGTTTTAATAATAAATTAGACAAAATTATCATGTGTGTGGAAGGGTATCCTCAAGGCTAGGGAAGTTGTTAGGATGGGATTGAGATGGCTAGTCGGAAATGGAGAAAATATTGTTTTCTGGACCCATAATTGGTTTTTCCTTTCCCTCTCACCAATCTCTTATCTAGCACCTGACTAACTAATGTTGCTCATGACCTAAAAGTGAGCCAATTTATTGCTAATGGTCAATGGAATAGACAATTGTTATCTTCTGTGGTTGATGTTGATGTTGGTAACAAAATTTGTAGTATTCCTTTGCCATTAGCCTCTCAAAATGACTTATGCTATTGGGGACCAAATGCTGATGGTAAATTCCCTGTCAAGTCTGCAACTTGGATACAAAACTCTATCAATAACAATGTTAATTCTAGCAAGCTTCTTAAAACTAATGTAGAATCTTAGCTTGCCTCACAAAGTAAAAAACTTTAGTTGGCTTCTCATTTTGGGGAAACTCCAAACCAGAGACTGTTTGGCAAGATATATTAATAATATGCCTACTATTTGTCCTCCTTGTAACTCAAATGATGAAAGCATTAGCCATCTTTTTATTAACTGTGATTTTGCTGGACAGGCATGAAGCAGCCCCACTATATTTGACTCATTAAATATAAATCAAACCCATAATTTCAATGATTGGTTAATCTCCATGGACAGTAAAAACATTGACAATCTAAGAGAGTTGAATATGGCGCTCCTTATTTGTTGGCAAATTTGGAAAGAAAGGAACCTTGTCGTTTTTAAAAATAAAAATCTGAGTTACACTAGAATCGTGAATTCAGACGGCTCAGTAGTTAACTAGCAGGCTGCTTTTGGTTTTGTGATTAGAAATGAGAATGGTTCCTCTATCATTGCTGGGGCGCGTAGTGTTGGATAGAATACCATTAATGTGGCAGAATGTTTGGCGCTTCGTGATGGTCTCTAGATGGCAAACTTGAGAGGTTTTAAGCGCATCATTGTTGAAGGCGACTCTAAGTTGGTTATTAAGGCTATTCGTGGTGCCTATCATGCTCCTTGAAGACTGAGGACCATTCTTGCTGATATTTTACTGCTGGCGGGCTTCTTTGGGGATATTTGTTGGAAGCATGTCTTCAGATAAGCCAATTTTCTAGCAGATACTATCACAAGTGTTGGTTTCTTAGTTAATGGCTTCCATGTTTGGGATAAAACTATTTCATTGGCTGCCCGTCTAGCCTACCCATTTGATTATACTCAAACAGGTTTCCCTAGGGGCTTTTCTCTTTAATATAGTTTTTTTCCTTAAAAAAAATAAAAACAAAAATAGTTTGCCTTTTAACTAAAAAATATAACAGCAATAACAAACCGTAACTCAAACCCCTCACAGTCGTACAACACCTTAAAACCCCAAAACACACCAACAACACCACCCAATTCTTGGCCACACAAACACCACCGCCCAAATTCTCGACCATTGTGGAACTACCACGGTTCTGAACCATCCTTACCAAATAACAGTCGTGAACTAGTCAGGCGGACATGGCAACACCTCGTGAGGAAGAGAGAGAGAGAGAGAGAGAGGAGATAGATTGACGGAGTCGGGATCAATGCCGCCGTGCCGCAGAATGTGCAGCGGGTGTGGACTTGACAAATGGGGATCCGATGAGATTTTGATTGTTCTTTGTTTTTCATTATATTCACTTTTTATTTTTATAAAGAAAATCAGTAATATTTTTTGTTGGTCAACAATGACTAATGTTTTATGTGGTGAACTCTGGTTGATTGACCCTTTAGATATTTAGAGTCATTTTGCATAAGGGTGAATTTGCAATCGGTCGGATGGGTAAACGGTTGTCTGGTAGTGGTGGGTGGAGAAGGAAAAAAAGCCACAATCTCCCACCTGTATTTTCCTTTCAATTCAATTTTGTCGTCGAGTACAAGTCCGCGAGTATGATCTACAAAGCAAGCAAGCAAAATTGGTTTTACTTTTTGCTTTTTTCTCTGTTTTCTATTTTTATAAAAAAAAATTAATATAAGATATTTATATGATTTAATAATGATCGTTTAAATAGAAGAGGAAGAAAAAAAAATTAAAAAAAGAAAAAGGAGAATTCAACTCCTTGCATTAAAGCTTCTGGGAAAAAACACATCCTCAAAATTCACTCAACCGTCAATGCTTCTCCACCAACACCCCCTACCCATTACGAATCCGTACATATGATATGACTAAACACACAAGGTAGGTGCTCGATAATTACTCATCACCCCAATTAACTTTTTAAGTTAAGGTGGGTAGGAAAATAAGATAATGCAGTAAGAATGATACTACTATTTTAAACTACTCTTAATAACAGTAGAAAAACATAGAAAAGTAGAAGAATGGTCTACCAAGGTTCTAAAAAAAATGTTTTTTTTTTTCAAAACATAATGATTAGTGCCTATTTAATGAAAGCTTCAAATGACAAGTATACCCTCACATATTTTATAAACTACAATTTTTGATCCTACATTATTCTCTTTGATAATTATTATATTACATTAAATATCATATCATTTTTAGTCATTTAACATATTTACAACAATTTATATAAAAATTTGCCAAATACTCAAATATTTTTTTTTTTTATGTTAAAAGCACTTTTACAAGAAAAATTTTACTAAACACTCAACAACTTTATTTTACAGCTATTTATTCACACAACATAACAGAAACAATTTTTTTTTAAAACACAATAATATCAAACTAGCTCCAAATAATTTGATTCGCTTCCATTGTTTGAAACCCTTCCATTGTACACAAGTTTAAGAGGAGTCCTTTTACGACAAAAGTGCAAACTAAAGAAAATTTTTTGGATTCCCATGCTAACAGTTTAATGTCCTAAAGAAATGATCGGCCATGAAAATTGGTCCCATTTCAACTTTTGCTTTACAAATTCTACCAATTCCTTGCACTCCTCAATAGCTCTTGTATCCACGCCGTTCCTGACCAACGGTGGAAAGAACAACCAAGTCGCGGTGGCCACCACGAAAACGATGGTCAACGGTGTTGACACAACCCAATGCAGCCGCCACCTTCCACCCAACGCCTTCTTCACGCCGAACTCGACGACCAAACACACCCCATGAAGAACAAAGAACCACGTAACCTCCCAGGTGGGAGTCGCACGCGTCATGTAGAAGTATATGAGCTCGTGCATCAAACCCGATACCAAAAACGTGGCTAACACGGCCGGCAGGGGGGCCCATGCAGTCCCCAAGAAGGTCTCGGCCGCTGACCGCACGGGTTTGTGCACAGTCTGGCGCAACGTATTTGTTATCATAAGGTTCCACCTCCTACCCCAAAAATCTTGTAGCGAAGTTGAAAGGTAAGGCTCGTTGGACGGCGATTCGAGCTCGATTCCGAGAACCGCTCGCATCGTTGCGTTGGCTACGCCTACTAACACGTCCACAAAAAGATACAACATGCAACAATACTGACCTAATAGAATTCTGGGGTGCAAATATTTTTTATAGTCAGTTAGGGCAACCAATATGCCGAAAAGCAAGATTTTGGTTGGCAAATTCAGAGGCAACTTAGGGGTTCTTTCCAAATTTGGAAATAACTGTTGAGATGTTTTGATTGGGAGGCAAGCAGTGAAGATGAAGAGGATGAGGGAGTTTAGGGGTGGGTCAGATGAAAGTGGGCCATGACCAAAGGAGAAGAGGAGGAGCTTGAAGCTACCAACCCAGGTAATGAACATGGCAAACACTCCGGCGGGGAGGGCGGTGGAGAGAGAGAAAGGGAGGGTGGTGAAGAGGTAGAAAATAGGGAGGAGAGAGAGGAGCCTGAGTTTGCCTTTGGGGATTTTAGAAGCTATGAAATAGGTGTAGCAAAGAGAGGCAAAGATGGAAAGGCATACCTTGATTAAGCTCTTGATTTCTTCCTCCATTGATCCCATGATCGGTTGATTGATTGATACTCTTTTAATTTGTATCATCAAAGTTCGTTGCCATCACCTGCTCCTCAACCTATCTATCGGCTTACCTTATCATGAGCATACAAATTTTGTGTACTAGATTGCTTTCAAAAATATTAATAATATTATGATCATGACCTTCTCGCTTTTATCCTTCTTTTATAACTGTTTGTAAGGAGGTGAAATATGTACCAACCAAACAATGCGCCCTCATTACCCCCAAGAACATGCAAATTTTCAAGGCACCACGGGTTTACTGTGGGGTTGCAACGTTTGATTAAAAAGAGGCTTCCTACTTTTATTTTTAGTTATGTGCCCTTGTACTCTTCACAAAATATCACCTTACTTCTCATCCTCAATTATATTCTATTTCACCCCACTCATTTTTTATGTCTCATTTTGTTCCATTCCGTTAACTGAGTTGAGAAAAATGTTAAGGGCTTGGTCTTTTCACTTTTAATTTCCGATTTGGGACACTTGAAACTTCAAAATCACTCTAGCTTGAAAATCAAAAAGCCAAAAACCCCACAAAAATACTTAAATTTTCTCATATTAACAACTCTAAATTGTTTAATTTTCGCAAACTATAATTATAACTTTTTAACCTATTCCTATATTTATTGTTGAAATGACCAAAGGGTCCATTACACATTAGCGAAACTAACGGTTTTCCTAACTCAATTGGCGAAATTGGTAAGGGAAAACACAAAAGAACAGTGTATGAAGTGAAGTGAGACAAAATAAAATGTATGAAGTAAAACAAGATTTTATAAAGAATAAGAGGGGTAGCTGAAAATAAGCTTTAAAGAAAAGTTATTCGGTTCAATACCGAATATTAATCAAACTTCGAAGCCACCTTTGTGGAATACTATTTGCTTTGCACGGTCAATTGTGAGTGCTCGATTTTAAATCTTGATTCCTTTCATTAGTGCGAGGAATACAATGTCGGCATATTGCAACTCGCCAACACGGAATCTTGAGATGCGTAACCGAACTAGAAGAATATATAAGTGACAAATTAATGAGAAAAATGGTCCCAAAAAAAAAATTAATGAGAAAAATAGATTAATCGGGTGGACATCCAGTAGCACTCGGCTGAAGCCCATTATGGGCTGGATATCTTGATATCATCTAGCCTGAAGGATTATCAATGTGCTAAGAATTAAACCTTAACACCAATTACCCACCTTCGGCCCAAGTCCAATATTTCAGTCCCAACAGTTCTAAGAGAAAATTCATATCTTCATGTGATTTTTGTTTGGCTTTAATCGAAATGAATTATGAAAATGTGTCCTGTTGGTTGATTGTCAAAATCATTTCACTCCATATATTCTTCATGATCGTGTTACTATCTTGCAAAGCTTGAGGAGAAAGTAACTAACTATCGCGTTAGTGTCGTGCCCCTTCCACTCGTAGGTTGAAAAAAAATCGAGTATCAAAGCGCGGAAACAAAACTGCCTACTAGCATGTGCGTCTAGTTGATGAGTTTTGTAAGTCTTTATGTGCTCATTTCTATTAGTGTTATCCTGGCTTGGGAGCCCGAGAATTTTCTCAGTGGTGAATTTTGTCTCGCTAAATCCTATATCATGCGCACGTTTTATTTGTCTTTTAGGATATTTTGGTATGTGATGTGCATGCGAAAATTAAATTGAATTTGAATTTGAATTGGATTTTTAAGTTGAAACCTATTCACCCCTCTAAGTTAAACTAGTACCCATCCTAAAACATTCACAGATTTTGTAATGTCATTTACTTTGAAAAGAAGTTGCGCAAATAACACCCTGAATAAGCTCCCAAGAGTAATGTGACTCCATGCTATCCGTTAAATTAATAGGAATTTATATCACTAGTACAAGAGTTCTTTTTTAAGGACCATTTTGTAGTTCAAGCCTTCTGTGGCAGTTGTATCAGATTGGGGAGACAAAGTCCTAAGATTGGGAAGAATTTGAATCCGAAACATAGTGAAGTACGTGAATTCGTACTTCTTGAATCCCAACAATGACGGCTCTAAGTGGGCAGTCCAATTTTTATGAAGATCTTATGTATGACTATGAAGAATAAGACTTAGGGAACATAAAAACTCTGATTTACCATTTACAGTAAGACTTAGGAACTATGCATGAGCCGAAACCCAATAAACGTTGGGACAGAACAATGACACTACAACCAAATATCAATCTTCTATTAACGACAATTATATTTAACTCGCTAACACTTTTTTTCAAAAAGAAAGAAAAATCATATGGGTATTTCCATCTAATTACGCCCTAATTGTAATTTCAAAGGGCCGTTAGTTCGAACATCATATTGACATGGTTGCAATTAATCACAAGGTTCACAACGCAAAAGACATAAAAAAATTTGTCTGCCAATAGGAGCTTGGACCAAAATATGAAACGGTGGTTGTATATGCCAAAATATTTACGTTGTCATTTCTTGTAGTGACACTCGAATATTATTTTTCTAAATAAGCTTCTGAATTTAAATCTCATACACAACAATAAAAAGAAATAAAGTGTATGATGATACGTTTCATAAGAAAACACACAAATTGGAGCGATAGGTCTTTTTCATGACAGTAAGGGCATGTGTGCCTTGACAAAATCTACCATAACTGGATACTCATCTATAGCCTTGACATCCACGCCATTTCTCAGCAGCTGAGGGAAGAACAGCCAATTGGCTGTCACAGCCAAGAACCCCAACGTCAACGGCCCCGAAACCAACGGGTGAAACCGCCATCTCTCGGCCACCGCCTTCTTCACCTCCACCTCGATTGCCACGCACAACCCATGTAGCACAAAGAACCACGTCACTTCCCATGTAGGAGATACACGTGTGAGATAATAATAAATCACCTCATGCATTAGACCTGAGACTGCAAAAGCAGACATCAGAGCGAGAAATCGGGCCCACCGAAGCCCGACCACACGCTTCGAAATACGGAGCACTGGATCATACGTGGTAGGCCGTAGAATATTTGTGACCATGAGGTTCCATCTACGGCCCCAAAAGTCTTGAAGGGAAGTGGAAAGGTAAGGCTTGTTGGACTGCGGCTCGAGTTCAAACCTGAAAAGAGCTCGGGCTGGGGTCGCACACAGGGGCATTACAATTTCTAGCCCCAAGTACATGTGGCAGAAGTACAAGGCCAATATAACATAGGGGTGTAAACGTTGCCTGTAGTCGTATGACCTAACGACCAAAGCCAAAAGCAAGGCTTTTACAGCAAACAAAACCGACATTTTAGGCATGTTTGTAACAGTTTTACCAACTGGGTAATTTGGGTTCTCAGAGTTTGTGGGGTTTTGTATGATTTTGATGGGGAGGATAGCTATGGAGATGAACTGGAAAAGAGTTGGTGGGGGTGCACAGAGAGGACCAAGGTCAAAGGAGAAGAGGAGGAGCTTGAATATGCCAAACCAAACCAGGAAGAAGGTGGTGGGACCACCGAGGTGGAAGGAGTGGAGGTTGAAGGGGAGCATGATGAAGAGATAGAAGATGGGGAGGAGAGAGATGAGCCTGAGGATGCCCTTTGGGATTCTAGATGATATGTAGAAACAATAACACAGAGAAATGTTGGTTAAGATCCATACCTTGATGAAGTTGTTGGTTTCACTCTCCATTTCTCTAGTCTCCTTTTAAAATTCTATTCCCCTTCCCCTTAGCTTCCCCTGCTCTGGTCTCTTTTTCTTTCTAGAATTATATTCCCCTCTTTCCTTGGCTCTTTCTTTGGATCTGGCTTCTCTGCCCTCTCACTTTTCATAGGCTCTCATCTTCTTTTATTTGTGCGATTACAATTAAACTACAACAACATTTTATGTTACTATGATTTTGTCTTATTATCTCTATAAAAAATCAATATAAAATATTAACGTGGTTTAACCGTACAAAATAAAAAGGGCTGAGAATGTATGGGAAGTGGGAGAGTAGAGAAGCCGGATCCCTTTCTTTGGGCTGTCTCTAAGCCATGTTTGTTGGACCGGATTAGCTAGATAGGACAAGTCTAATCCAAATGGACACCTTAAATAAGAGGATTAAAAGAAAATTCATCTCCAATCACACGCTTATCCCGCTCATAGGAGCTCTTAATCCTAAAATTAGAGAGTAACAAAAGCTCCTGAGAGCTGCTGGCATTACTACTTTTGCTTTAACAGTATTAGATTAGAGAATAAGGTTTTGGTTGGAGATGCTCTAACAGCGGAGAATCTTGATTGTAACTAGAGATAATTAACCCATGTGAGCGTCTCATATATCACGTGATGCAGAGATATATAACTCATGTGAACATCTCATACATCACGTTATGCAAATATATCTTCGGTAACAAGGCAAACTCACTCATTCAGCCAAAACAAGAAAGAAAAATAGGATGGAACAACAAACTAGTAAAATATCATACGTTTCCGTTCAAGGAACAAAAAACTAATGAAGTGGCATGAAGTACAAAGTTGCGAAAACACTAGTATATAATATACACCAACATTTATTACTCTTAGGCACAAAAGGGAAAACACACTGATCAAATGGTACATGCTTTTACTCATTCAACCAACCTGCTGAATTTTGGTTCGAATAGCTTTGGTGAGGACCGGGAGCAAAACCCATGGAACCACCATGTTGACCGGGGCGGGGTGCCCTGGGATCAAAAGTGCCGTTGCTGCTGAACATGTGCGGTTCGTATCCTAAAGCAGGTTCAGATCCTAAGCCACCCATCCTCGTGTGGTTCAGTTCATCCAACCGAGGTGCATACCGCTGCATGGCGGACGTGTTCATCCTGTAAGATGACTCGGCTGTCGGACCAAGATGACTATGGCTGTAAGGAGATGAATACGATCCCATCTGTGCACTTACAGAATCCTGACCCACTAGATAATTACTTCTCAAAGGACCAAAATCTTGCTGACCATAAAGCCGAATCTGAGAACGTACGTCAGACTCCCTCCTAAATGGATCTTCTACCTCATTCAAGCATGGTCTATATCCAAGGGTATCCGATCTGTCTCTCATGTGGCCCACAAACGGTTCCTCCAAGTTTGTAGCCCTATAACCAGAACTGGGACCAGCGGACCATCTATGAGTCAGACTCAAGTAAGGCTCATCACTGCTCCTGGATAAGCTTCTTCTACCTCTGTCATCAGCTATGTTAACCTTTGTCCCACCATAAGTAGTTCCGTACTTCACGCTTGAACCAGAATTGCTAGGCTCAGAGTGCTGATCTCCTTTTTCAGCAGGCTCAATGCGTGGCAGAATTTCCCTGCATGTCTCATCAATGTTGTTACCATCCCCAGGACTCTCGTTGCCACCTATGTCACCACTGTTCTCACAGGAGCTTTCTCTGTGTTCCTCATTCACAACAACCCCACCTTCAACATCTTTGGGACTATCGGTTTTTATGCCATCATCATCAATCAGCATAGGTGCTTCACCATACTGATCATTATTACCTATTGACCGACCGTGATTTAGAGAGTCAGAATGCTCTTTCATATACCCTTGTGATGCAGACATGTGACCATGCTTTTGAGCTATAGCCTTGATGTCAGCAGACCAATCAGGACGACTCCAGAGATAGAGTGGTGGCGGCGTTACATTCCATTGATCCATTTGTTTGTCATTCACATCAACAGACCCCGGGAGATAAAAAGACTGAAAGGATACAAGTCACCAATTAACTCCCAATGTAAAATTTCTATTCAGATAATTAAGATTCAGCCTCTTGGACAAACACATACCTTTCCAGACAGAAACTGGTTATCCTCCCAAATTAGATCATATGGCGATTTCTTTTCATTTAACCTGATGAAAGACACAAATGTAAGGAACTATATACAAATGGAATTCCAGTTCAAAGGCATGGCCACATTGATGTATGCCTCTGTGTGTGAGAGAGAGAGATGAACAACAGCTAGCAGCTACCTTTGAGTTTCTGGTGGAACAATAAGAATAAGGAGCTTTGGATCGAACTCAAGAGCCTTGTCAATAAACTTGTTTGCCAGAGCTGCTTTAACTCCGAAAGGAGGGTTCAACCCCATGATCTGCTCAAGAAGCAAAGTTGCGGAGAGTGAAATTAACATAAAGGTTCAGAAATTCAAATGTCTTGATCAAATACAAACAAGCACCAAGTTCCTACCAATTGTGACCCTTTTGGTAACTCCTTTGGTTGTACTTTCATCCAATCTCTCTTCTCAAAACAGAAATCGTTCTGCCAAATGAAAATCCACATAAAACAATCAGTTTCCCAGTTTTTAAGTTTTAAGCCTGTAAAAATGCACGCACAACAGCCTTTAACCCAGCATTGGGATTGACAAATAGACACGATACAAGAGACAAAATTAATCACAATATCTTTTTTACTTAAAATGCGGATGAAAAAAGCAAGAATGAGCAATATAACTCCCGGTGCAGGTGATTTGAATTGCATTCTGCAGGAATTACAAACCTCATAAAAGCTAAGTCTGAAATACAGTAGGCATTAACAGTGGAAGCACAAATATGTTTGGCACTTGCATTTATCCCGTAGACAGCAAGCCTTTTCAGAACTCTTAATTTTCACTAATCACAATCTTACAGTTGAACATAGAAAAACAGAACTATTCATAAGCTTCAATCGATCCCCAATAGACCCCGTTGCACAGAATCAAAGCCTCTAACAAAAGGATAATGAGCCCCTCAACTACAAAAAATATATTATAAAATATATTGACCCTTAACTGACAAGGTATATGGTGAACAATGCAACCATGTATGCACATGTCATTGATAATATTACTTGTGGGGATTGACCAACATTAAGGACTTATATGAATGACTATTACCTTCGGTTGAATTAAGTCATAGTTTTTATAAAAGCAGTTCTTCCCCGTCTCTTCAAGCTTTTTCTTCATTACGATGCTGAAATCATTGGCACCACAACAGAAGTCCACTATCTGTTCATTGGAACCATAAGTAATCAGGTACTAACCAATCAACATTATTTTGAAGGCAAGGTAAGGAACATTGGAAAAAACAAATATGTAATAATAAAGAAACCAAGGCCAATCCTGCCTAACAACCTAAGCTTATGATCCAACATTAGTATCCCATTTAATAAGGAATCACAACAACCTCAATTCTCTTTCTTAACCATATAATATGCACTTTAGAACAAGAAGACAGTCATCCAACAAACAACTAGCTTATGACTTCTGTGGTGAATATATTTAGTACAGGTTCAACTGTGTAAAGTCAAACAAAAGTTCATAAACATCATCGTGATAAATTCTTCAGCAATAGATGTTTCTGTTGCAGTCTTGCAGGAAAAAAAAAAAAAAAATATGGTTCAATATTTCTTCTACGAAAAAAACAATTTTATTGATTCTAGAATCAGCACAAAATACCTTGGACCGCGTAGCCCCACTAAATAAAATACATCTAAAACAGCCAAAGTGGAAACTTTTAACTAACAGAAACGCAAAAGGCTGAATAGAAATATCTCCAGCCCAGCCAAGGAATAGTCCTCTGAAGTACACTAGATCATCCTTTTCCAAAAAAAAAAAAAAAAAAAAAAATTCTCTAAGAAGTGCAGCAATGTTCTTTAGTTTCCTAAATTAAGTAATTTCGTTGTTATATAGTTCCTTATCGTGATTACTGTACAAAGGGCTTGTCATCAATTTCGAAGCAAAACAATATTGTCCTAGATCACCTAAGAAAAGAAAGTGGGGAGTAAACCATTAATCTCCTTAAATTTTTCTTCTTCAAAAATAAATTTCCATGCTTCTGCTATCATAAAGATGTCAGGTCCTAGAAGTAGTTTCTGAAAAAACTCTGTTGATAAAAATAAGCTGCAAGCCTGCAACAGTTTCAATCATCATCATAATCCATGTCATCACAAACTTAGATGCTGAATATAGTATAATGATCTGTAGTTGAGTTGACCTCTAGGTGGACGGTCAAATAAAGCATTCAGGTGCTATGAAGCTTCTAAGGAAAAAAATAGACACCCAGGAAAAAAAGCCAGTCATGCAAATAAACAATTACGCATATAGTACCAAATAACATTTGAATTCAATTCAGATGCGCTTAATTAATTGATTCAATTCAGATCATTAAATATCACTAAGACAAACGAGAGTATCATCAAGGGCATAACTCAAAGAAACATCCAAAAGATATTTCATGTTAAAAGATATACAATGCACTCATATATACTATGTATTAAAATTATTCTCACAGATATAAGCATATAGATCCTTACCGTATCTCCATCTTTTACGTACCAATGCAGCCTATCAGCAATCTGTACATTAAAATCAAGCTTTTAGAATTCTTCAAGGATTCATGAAGCTCATAATACACGCTCAACGGCTCAAGATTAATGAAGTAAATGTGTGCAGACGAGATAAAAGGTAAAGCTATGTGAACGAGTAAAGCAAAAATGAACAACCATATAGTATATACAAACAGAGTTTAATTCGCAAAATGATTTGTGAAAGCACGAGTAAACCAAAATCCACAGCACTGAATTTTTTGGTGGGTGATATTCTTGTTCTTTTGTCTAACTGGTGGACCTATTGTCCAATAGTGGAGATTATTTTGCAACTTCTTGACTTTGTCTACTGATAAAATTTACCTTTCTTCTAAACAGAAAACAAACTCAAGAAAGAAATCCAAATGTCAATGTGGATCTAATTATCTTTAAAACTGGAGAAACCAAAACAAAACCACAAGTTTTTCAATGTCAAGATTATCTTAAGCATAAGCGACCATACCAAACATGAGTGGGGTGGACATGTTCATAAACGCAAGTTTCCACTGTTTTAATAATTCATTAAAACCCAAGCTGAGAAGAAAGTAGACGCAATAATAAGTTAGCAAGAGCGCTTTACAACTTTGAAATAGAAATAACTGAACACAACCAAATTACCTCTTCTAATTTGTCCACCTTTGTAAAATGACGACCAAAGGACGTGTAGCGCATTCCGTGCAAAAAAGGTGCAAGATATACTCTCAGCTTGTTCTGCATCAAAAATAAATCAACAAACTAATGGGAAACTGTACAACACAACCGTTTTCTGATGAACCTTTAGTACACATATTACGTGAATATAAAATCACATAACAAACTCAACCACAAAGAGAAAGAGAAAACAGGTAACAAAGAAAAATTAAGATGAGAGAGAGAGACAGAGAGAGAGATGCTACAAATATAGCACTTAGTATAGAGTGTGAGCACAAGGGATGCTACAAAAAGCTCACCGTTACACATTTTACATTTCAAGTGAACACAAGGACAGACTTGATGTTTCCTTAACATTTAAAAATGTAAAATGTCACAAACTTTGCTACAATGTATAGAATTCATTTGTGAATGGGTCTGTAAACATGTACCAATTACCAAATGACCAAATAGGCTTCCTTATCAAAGTGTGGACTGAAAGTAAACCAACTTTTTGTTAGAATTTGGTTTGTCATTTGTCAGAGTCCTATTTTGTGTAGGATTGTATTAGGAATGCTAAAGGTACACAGATTCTTGTACTCCAAGGATTAGGAGAGAATAACTTTCTTGTAAAATTAGATTGGGAATTCTGGAAGCAGAAATAGAGTAGGAATGCAAGTATTCTTCCTATCCCAACTAGAATAGGAGTCCTATAGGGTGCCTGGGTGCGGCAAGGGGCAAAAACACAAGAGAACAGAGAGACAACCGAGAGAGAGAGGGATTGGTTCTAGGGTTTACAAGAGTAATTTTTTCTCTATTATTAATTCAAAAAAGCCATGATTGCTCCACCCAGAGAAATCGCAATTGACATAGACAAAATTTCTGCCAAACTATTATAATCTTGTATATTTCTAGTTATTCATTCAAAAAAGCCTTGATTTCTCGACCCGAGTCAGAATTATAACACTTTGCCTACCCTAGAATAATGTGCATGAAGAATAATAGCTTACGCCAACCTTGTAAGGTTCAGTCAGCTCTGTACAGCTCAAGTTCTTAAATGTTCTTGGCTCGTTTGAGCTTGGCTTGTAAAGAAACTAGCCACTCAAATAAAATACTAAAGCTTGCTAGAAAATACAAGCCAAGCTAGTAAAAGATAGTGTCTAACTCAGATTTCATCACAAGGCAACTCTCTTTGAGTTGAGGTTGCCTCATGTATTTGTGCTACAGGTGTGAGGTCCGTATCCTTCATTTCTCTATTTAAAATTTATATTTGTTACATGATTCTTTATTTCTTTATTCACTTATGTATCTATATTTTCCTAGGGTCATTAAGTCAAGTCACACTTTAAGCTCATGTCCCGCATATGAGCCAAATTCAAGTTCAGCTTAAACTCATCCAAGCCAACCCCGTGCCTGGAACCAACATCCGACATCGTACTTAGAGCCCAGTTAGTCAAGCTAAGCTAAAACCCAGCAAATTACGTTTGAGCACTACAATACTCAGTTTAACTTGGCTAGGTTACAACCCTATACCTGAGCCACAAACCATCCGAATTAAAAGAATAGGCAAATAGCTGAGATGTGTAAGTGTAGTATACAAGGCACACAGACAACAAACATTAAAGCAGGAAACCTATTACTTAATACAATAAGAAGATGAATAATCTTTGCCTAATCATAAGTTGTAGGATAGTGAGACTGGAATAGGAAACCACCTTCCACTTGTAAATCTGGTGAACCACCTCAGGAGCGCAAACAGCCTCAGAATCTTCAGTACTGCATCCTTCCTCTAGTTTCCGTAACGCTGTTCGAACAGCCTAAAATACAGTGGATACATTACCAAGTGCATGATAAGAGAAATCATCAAAAGTTCACACTTGGTGCAGTGCAAAATAACAGTTAAGATTTTCCCATGGATGTACCTCAACTGAGCCTTCTACCTTTCCCAGTGTAATGTTCCTATCCACAGCATTTTTGGACGAGGATTGATGAGTTGATGGAACTGTGCGCTGCCGCTTTCTTATAACATCTTCCAGAGTTATTGAAGATGCGGCATCTTTCATTAAAGCCAGTAATCTGAATTGCAAGAAATAAATCAAAGAACTACACAAACTTTAAATTAAGATTGTCTGCAACTGTGGTAAATCCTTGAAAACTATCCAAACATATATGCGTGTGTGTGTGTGTGTGCATGCATGTGTAGAGAGGATAGAGAGGAGAAAGAGGGAGTAATACACACACACTCTCAAATATACTATCCCCTTAGAACTCGGTCACACATATTGGCATAAGCCAATTGATGGTTTTTGTTATTTTTATAAAAACTTGAAGAAAAACTAATGAGATGGAGATGATGGTACTAATGTTGGGGAAACCACTAGCCCAACCAAGATGGGTTTTTATGCACAATATTTTAACTTACTTTGGCTTTTCAAATTCTTGTTAGTTATTTACTACATTACCCCCATTATATTTAATAGTCTTTTAGAAAGTTGAATAGGGGAAGTTTTGGTATTTTGAATTGTCAACTTCAAGGCATTCTCCCTTATATATTGAATGAAGGAGGTAAAAGGGTGATCTCAAGCCAACAAGGCTCCCCGCTTTGCAGGGTTCGCGCGGGGGATGGGGTGGAACATCTATCGTACGCAGCCGTACTAGAGGTTGTTTCCACGACTCGAACCCTTGACCTTTCAGTCACAAAGGAGCAACCTATCCCTTGCGCCAAGGCTCACCCTCATATTAAATGAAAGATGTAATGCTATAAAAAATTGCAGTAACAAGTTACAATGTATAAACAAAACAGAATTGGTAAATAATTTAAATGAAGTTACCTCCTCTCTGTAGCTGCATCTAAAGATGGTGGTGCACTGATCAACGTTTTTGAGGCAGGATTACCTATTGCCAAACCACACTCCCCATCAGGTTTGCCCTGCTTACCTGACTTCACTTGATTAGACCTATTCATATAGGCATATAACTGATCACCCAATGAGGTCTTTTGTTCCTCAGCCACAGAAATCTTAGTTTCCTTTTTCAAAGCACTATTCGCTTTCACCTTTCTTGATGTATCTAACCCAGAAGGTAGTTTTTTACTAATTCTGTTACCACCCACTTTTGCAGCAGAAGATGACTTCAGCTTCTCTTTAGATATCGTAGGAGCAGTTTGGCCCCTACAGAATTCTTCAGCGGAAAGGCTTCTCTTATTTTTCACAGATTTTTCTCTATCTTGAAGGGATTCTAATGTCCGTTTTTTCTTTTTCCCTACAAAATCAGTCTTCTTTCGAACAAAACTGGTCCTCTTTTCTCCAACATCAGGGAATGTTACATGGTCCCTTATTGGCGTTCCAATGTCTTTAATTATCTCATGTTTTCTAATCCAAGGAAAAAGAAAAAAGCATTCAGAAAAATTAAAACAAACAAAATAATTAACAAAGCAGCTCACAAAAATAGTACTTACGTGCAATATATTAGTACACGGTTTGGTAATAGTCCTTCCCAAGCCCTTGGTGTTGTACCTTCATCCTCTTCGTCTTCCTCCTCATCTTCCTCTGTTTTCTCTGTTTTCTCAAATACAATATCCCTGGTACAAGCAATTCAAGCATAAACCAGCTATACACAGATAATAGACCAAAGCATGGTCTCCTAAAAGCATATTAAAAATAAAAACAAAATAGAACAATTAAGAAGATTACTCCGGCAAGCATTTCTTGTGGTAGGATTTGGGACAACGCCGACACACAGCAAACCGCAACTGAGGATTCTTCTTGTTCTCTCCTTGTTTACAAATGCAGCATTTATGAATCGGACATGTAAAAGATTCACCCATAGCAATTTTTTTCTCCAGTTCTTCAGCAGTGACTCCATTGTCTTTATAAATGAGTTTTGCAATGCAACGTGGATGGTAAAATTGACCACAGGTTGCAGAAACACAGGGGAAGACCTAACAGAAATGATAACAATGATTTACGTATACCAAACATAAGAATAATACTCTGATGACGACAATGACCGATGCTGACAATACAAAAAGCAGGAAAGGCAGAATAATACTCTGATGATAATGATGATATATGTATCTGTATGTAAATGAGTCCCTTCTATTGAGGGATCACTCGCATAATCTTATCAGAGGGACACCTCGAATCCCCCACTCCGGATTATATCTTAATGATTCAGAGTATTTTTCTTTCATAGATCATACTTGAAACAAAAGACAAACACTGCTCCAAGAAAACAATAAAATGACGACATTTAAATGAGTGGTTAAGCTACTTCCAATTTGGGTGTTTCATTGCAACGATGTTTTTTTGAGGACATAAAATTTAGACAGTTTGGATCATTGAAATATAATGCGGGGTGGGCACTACACAGGCATCCTCAATTAAGCTTATTTAACATATGACTAATCCTCCCAGATAGAATAAACAACGAAATGTTACAATGCCAGACCCACAAAAAAACAAATTGCTTTACTAAACCCTGTTTAACCAGTGGGTTCTTGAATGCAAAGGTGGTATTTGAAATGATTAATTTGCGTTGAGTTTGCACCTGATCGCTTTGCATTGTTGGAAATTGACTCATGAGGTTTGGTCAAAGTAAAAGAGCCCAAATAGTACATATGTGCATTGTGATTACCATTATAAGCATACCACGGATGCAGAGAGCCAAGTATTTCAAAGAAACTGTATTTCAGATAAAAGTACATGTTTTAGCTTCTCTTTAGGTTTCCACTTCCCAAGAGTTTAAAGTGGTACCACTCTCTCTATGATGAAGAACTACAAGGATAATTATTCATATTTTTATTCATCCAGATGATGTAAGGATAATTATCATTCTATGTGTCTCAAGTTTCCTATTACTAAAACACATTTCTTACTACAAAAACAACAACCAAGCTTCAAAGAACAAAAAAATTTAACCAGGAAAATAAATGGGTAAAGAACTCTTACTAAAACGACCATACTAAAATTGGTATCAGCACCAGGGAGATTCACTTAATTAACGCTGCGCAAGATGGAAAATGCTGGGAAAACAAAAGGGTACCCTAGTAGCAAGACTACACTGAGTAGAATGAAAATCAAGAAGGAGAAGAAAGCATAATATAAAAAATTAAAACAAATTCCAACAAGAAATGATGCTCAAAAGATGAAGAACTACAAGCACAAGATGAATGTCCTAACCTAAGATAGCATCATAAAAAGCACAACAAAAAGACATAAAAGGAAGTATGACCAAAGAAAAAGATCAACAGAGTGTAGCGGAATATTTTGAGCGAGTATACCTAACACTAGAAAATGAGCTCAAGCAGCTAAATGCAGAACAATATATCATGGTACCACACATACAAAGGAAAGAAAAAAAAAACCGCAGCACCCTTCCCCAAAATGAAAGGAACAAACAAAATAAGAAAACTGTAGACCAGTATTGCTTTGCTACTAACAATGTAGAAAAACTAAAACGTCCCTGGTTCTGAATTTATATACTTAAACTAATCAAGCTAGCATGTCCACAGCTATGAAGAAAAAATTCATACCTCAGCACCTGAAGATTTATCAGAGGAGCCTAGCTTCCCACAAGCATAGCACTGATGCTGTTTATACTGACAGTTCTTGCAGAAGAAGTTCTGAATCGCCTGCCAAGATCAAAACAGAGAATAAAAATAATCATAATATCAGTAACAAAAAGAAACAATCAAATGGAAATAAAAAAGTTAAAAAAAAGGGGATTCACAACAAAAGTGAGTAAGAAGAGCATACGTCTACTTCATCCTGGGTAAAGCCAAGGGTTTCACACATAGAATCCTCACCATCCTCTACAGTTGCGTGAAATGACCTTAGGCATCTCCCTTCACAACTACAGAGCAAAAAATATATATTTATGCAGTAACTTCTAGGAAATGAAGTTATTTAAAATATGCCGATATCATGACTATTGTCATAAGAAAGCCAACAGAGCATACCACAAAAGATCGCCACCATTATCACAAAACGCACAAACAGAATCAAACAGGTTATCATCGTCACTGGACTCGTCTTCAGCATCAATCATATCTTCTTCCATATCATCAACTATAAATCCAGGTTTTGTTGTAGCTTGAATGTCCTGAAAATCCAATGAGTTCACTGGCTCAAACACTATATCATGAAACTAAAAGAAACTTTAAAGAATTAAAGGATAAAAGTGTGCTAATGAAAGACAAAAACAAGTAAACGCTAGAAAATTACCTCATCATGCAGTTTCCTCTTGGTGGGCTTCTCTTCAAGAAAGTTGACCAAAAACTGTTCAAAACACAGTTTGTAATTTTAATTAACAATGCATAAACATAAAGACGGTTTGTAGTTCGTACAGAAGAATAAGAACAGGAAATAATATAAAGTGAAAACACAATGAAGCCAAAATTAAGTGAAAGAAGAGCAAGTACAGAGAAAGCTTGAATCTTAATAAAATTCAAATAGCAGAAAGTTTGCTTCGCCGTCTAAGGTTCACACATTCAGTTAATGAATAAGCAGGTAGTCCAGCTCAACATGTTCACACAAAGCTTCACAAATATAAGTTTCAATTTTGCATTTAAAACAAGAAGGGGGGAGGATGAAAGAGTAGTGGTTTGCCTGCTCCAAATTTCAGATTGAAAACCTATATTGAAGAATATCAACCATAACCACTGAGATAGCACATCTGAATAAAAAAAATATACAGTTACATTGATAAGAAAAGAAGCTAAACAGAACCTTGCACCTTGCTAATGCATCATCCCGTTTAACAGCTTCACTAATTAGGGGAATATAATTCACCAGGTCATTCTGAGAAGGCCTGACCTCATACGAGCTGCAAAATGAGGGAAACCGTCAAACCTCAGTTTAAGAAAATGAGCGAAAACAGAAGAGATGTTTAGAAGATCGAAAGATACCTGAAAACTTTAGATAAGTGATCCCACAGAGATTTGCCGGATGTCTCAGGATTTCTCCTCACATAGTGAAGGCACTGCACTGTTAGCAAGATTGACCTTATTACTTCCTCGAAACTCTTCCTCGGCTTCTGAAGCTTGAGCCAGTTATTTTCCTTAGAGAGCACCGCTATCTCAGGATCGACATTGGAAAGATCAAACCGCCATGCGATAACATGCTTATACAGTTTCTGAAGCCCATTATCGGCAGTGCCACGCACAAATATGTCCAGTTTCCTCCCATCTTGCCTCTCACCCTCACTCCACTGAATTGGCAAAACATGAAATGAGATGGGTTCGTCCTTGTCATCTACAAAATGGTAATTCGAAACGGATTGTGGCACCGCCTCTGCCTCATCGTCTGACGATTCCATGCCCCTATTCAACTCACACTACAATTTACACCTAAACATGTAATCAAACAATGAACTTTAAAAATGCAGAGCACTAACAGAGAGAAATCACAGTGCAAAAATCAACATGCGGTAGAGGGAGATAAAAGGTACAGAATCAAATTGGGATTTGGGTTCTAGGGCTAGGAGAATTATCTGGAATTCTTGAAACCAAAGTCGAAATTGGATTAACGAATTTGATAATATTGCTTTTAATTTGAAACCTAAAAAGCAAAATTAGAAAAAAAGAAACTGGGAACTGAAGAATTGTGAACCTGATCGGATTGACAGAAAGAAAGAAAACCCTAACTTCCTCCTCAAACGCTCTCAAATCCTCAATCAGCTTCCCCAATTTGCTTGCGATGAGGAAAATTATGAATGGGAAATCATGAACGAATCAGTTTACTCCGGGCTCAGTCTAGCGCAACGACATGTCGTTTAGAAATGATGAGGGATGAGGCTGATGACGCACGTAGTCCTTTAAGGTAGCGTTTGGTACGCGGGACGGGACGGAACAGAGTAGGACGAGGCGTTCCGTCCCACGTTTGGTGCGCCTAAAATGAGTGGAACGTGCTGTTCCACGGAACAGATTTTGGATGATTTTTTGTTCCACACCCCCACCATGGAACGGGTTGTTCCACGTCTGTGGGACAGAAATTTCCAATATTTTTAGACAAAAATGCCCTTGGTCTTTTTCAAAATTTACAACTTCAAAATCAGTTAACAAACCCTAAAAACAAAATCTCTTCTTCTCAGCCGTTTCTCTTCACCTCTGCATCCCTTTTCCCTTCGCAACCTTCCTGCTCATCTTCATCCCTTTCCCCTTCGCAACCTTCCTGCTCATCTGCCGCCAAACCCTAACCACAAAACCCGCCTCCACTGCCTCCGACTTCGTCCGCACCCTTTCCACCGCCGCCGCCGTCGCCGAAACCTACGACGACCCAGATGGAGTTTCAATGAAGGGAATCAGGAAGAACCTTGATATGGTTGTGGTGAATGGTAGCGAGGAGAGACGTTACCCCGGAAATTTGAGTCTTTCGTTTGCTTATGTGGAAGGGGAGAGCTTGTTGATGGGGTTGAAGGAAGTGGCGGTGTCGAGTGGGAGTGCCTGTACCAGTGCGAGTTTGGAGCCCTCATACGTGTTGAGGGCTTTGGGGGTGGATGAGGACATGGCTCATACTTCTATTCGGTTTGGGATTGGGCGGTTCACAACGGAGGAGGAGATTGACCGGGCGGTTCAGCTGACGGTGCAGCAGGTGAAGAAGTTGAGGGAGTTGAGCCCGCTTTATGAGATGGTGAAAGAAGGGATTGATATCAAGAGTATTCAGTGGTCTCAGCATTAAGGAATTTGGTAGAGGAACTGGGTGAAGCAACGACTCCATTTTACAAGTTCAATAAAATTCTTGTCGACTCCATTTAACTTGAAATGATACCAAATTCTATCATTCAAATTTATCACATAAGACTTATTCACGTCAAACTTATTATCCAGAACCAAATGTTTTCACATCTGAGACAGAGATGACAACATGGAGAAGGGAGAGAGAGAGAGAGAGAGGGTAGGGGGGGTGTTGAAGAAGAAGAGGGTCCACATATTGGTTTCGAAGAATGGCTCTCAGACAGGCTTTGGGAGTGGGACTGGAGTGCACGTTTTTAGGGTGTAGAGAGAGTGCGAGAGACGAGAATTGAATTGGGGTAGGGACTAAAAATTGAATTGGGGTGTGGGTTTTGTAATTTGCACAATAAAATTTGATGGGTTTGTGGTGAAAATTCGAATGGAGGTGTAGAAAACGGGAAAAATTACAAATTTTAAAGGGGTTTGCATGTGAAACACAACATATACCTATTAAAATTTGGACCAAGAAAAACAAATAATGGATAATAGTGTTCAAATTTGAACAACTTAAAAAAAAAAAAAAGAGTCATGTCCCGTTCCGCCCATAAAATTGTACCAAACAACAGCGGAACATGGGTATTTTAGTCATTTTAATCTTTTGGTTCCGTTCCGTCCATGTGCTACCAAACGCAGGACGGAACAACCGTCTTGTTCCGTCCTGCGCGTACCAAACATAACACAGAACATCTGTTCCGTCCCGTCCCGTCCCGTTCCATCCCGTCCCGTCCCGTCCCGTCCCGTCTGCGTACCAAACGCTACCTAAACGCACGACTCATGACGCACGTAGTCTTTAAACGCACGACTCATGACGCATATATGAAAATAAATATGTACTTTTAAAAATGTTATTTTTGTCACTTAATTGTACTATCATTTTCTTTTTTAGTGATGTTATTTTCATTCCAATATTTTATCTTTCTACTCACTTTTTAATGAATTTTTAAGTACAAATTTGTCCATTTGCAAAATGAATAATAAGAACATTAATTATCTTGTTTTGCTTAATTTAACAAAAAAAAAAAAAAAGTTAGGCATAGGAGACAATTTGTCTACCTTAAACCCTAACTCATATTTTTATCTCTTTTCATTCAAATAAAGTAAAAAAATATCAATGGACTTAGAAGACGACTTTTTTATTGAACAAATGGAAGATGACGCTTTTACGGAAGAAGTAGAAGATTATGTTTCCATTGAAAAGGTGGAAGAATAATTTGCGTATTGTATTTTTGAATTTGTCGTTGTCGAATTCTTTTGAATTTGGATATCTTTGTCATTTCCATTTAAATTTGCAGATTTTACTAGTTTTCATTTACATATTATTTGTTATATTTTTTTAAGAGACAATTTTATAATTTCATAAGTATGTATGTATTAAAGGTTATTTTGGGAATAACAGTGCGTGGCGAAATAGCATTTTAAATTTTTAACTTTTTAACGTGGGTGGGATTACAACGTGAGTGAGAAAATAAGACAATAGTGTGAGTCTAGTAGCTCTCTTCTTTTTTTTTGCAATCTTTTTAAATTCTTATACCATCTCCAAGTTTAACCCTTAAAACCTAAAATTTTTAATCCAGAAATATGTTTTCTACACGGCTATCACAACGATCCGTCGGTCCCTCAATTCACTCCACCACCAGCCTAAAAGAGCCCTAATGAAGAAAAAAAACGAAAATGACGGGATACTTCGGGGAATTACATCGCTCTTTGATTTGAAGAATAAGGCCTACGAGCTCTCCAACCCTTTTAAGTTAAAATTTTAGTCCAAAATTATTAAAGAATGAATTTAGGATTAGTAACTTATTAAAAAAAAAAAAAAAATTATGTAGGCAATCCAAATTTAATTTTATGAACATTTTGACCTAAAAATATTTAAATTGTTCGATAAATATTAAAAAATCACTAAACCGACACTATGAAACTCATGGAACACTATAAAAGAATATGAAACACATGAAAGAATTCTTTTCTTTAATTATTTTAACCGTTGGATTTAAATTTGGATCGTTAAATTTTTTATTTATCGTTAGATTTGATCATATTGGATCTTAGCCGTTGAATTCAATAAATATATAAATTTTAAATTTTAAAAATATATATACATATATGGTGGGCCAACCCACTAACCCAGGTAAAGTTATGGTTTAAATTTACCCCAACAAATGAGTTTGGGGTTAAAACTCATATTTGGCCCAAGGATTGGAGCAAGTTGAGGTAAGTTTAGAACCTAAAATTTTAGTTTTACTCCAAGGATTTGAAGTTCCATTATAAAATGATTTGTCAAATCTAGAGAGTATTTCAATTACTTATAAGTCTAAATTTGATTTAGTTGCATTCCTTGTAACTATCGTCATTGCATCATCATCGTCCATCTTTGATCTTTGATATCCCTTAAGTGCCTTAGAGCATCCCTGATTTGGAGCCTCGTGTCATCGTCGATGCCATTTTCGACGACCGGAGTCGGGAGATAGAGACATCGAGTTGGGATGAACAAGAAGGATGGGGACAAAGGATGAGCTTGACTGGTTGCACCGCTGCCAAACCCAGACTCTGAGATTAAGATTCAGAGAAAGAGAAGGTTACTGAACGAGTAAAGTATAGAACAGGTCGGTTCGGGGACTCGGGTTCTAAACTTATGGAACCGCCCCGCCTCGCCCCGAACCCACTCCGAATCGACAATACCCGCCCAGACCACGGGTTTTGTACTCGTTTGCCCAGCCGTTGATCTTTCACCCTCACTTTAAGGGGGGCAAAGAATAGCAAAGAGAGCAAACCCTAGCCTCTATCTCCATGTACATTGTAACCCTCAATTTACATAGTGAAACTGAATCGACACTGGTGCAGACGTAGCCCCATCTTGGGTGAACCACGATATATCTTTGTATTCTTGTGTATTTGTGTGATTCACGATCGGATTTACGTTAGTCCAAGATCGACCCGATTTTATGCATCAACATATTTCTTGCAGAAGGCTTAAGGTGTGATATCGGCTTTGAAAAGTTACATATGGTTCAATAGAATAGCCAATGGATCAGAAAATGAGAATAAAATCCGAGGTGAAAATAAAACAAAGATAAAAACAGTTGAATCAAATTATTTTAAGCAACAAAAATTAGGCTAATCTTTATTGTGGTGGTCTACGTTGTTGGCAACTAGCTGGATGGTGGAGTCTAAAGTAAACTAGGAAATTTTTTAATTTTATCCCAAATATGATTTAGGCAATAACTACTGTGACCAAGCAAGCATTCATTCTCAACAGCCGATGTCCATTACATATCCTAAGTTATCTAAAAGATAGGTAAGGATATGAAATGCTAAAACAATGACTAATTACATGTTACAACTAAAAATGATAATGGAGGAAGCTAAACATACCTTGCACCTCGCTAAGGCACCATTCCGTTTAATAGAATCCTTTATTAAAGGTGTGTGATCCGCCAGATCATTCGGAGAATGCTTGACGTCATATAAGAACAGTCAAACTTTGCGCTAAAAGTAGCAAAACAGAGGTAGCAAACGGTGGTTGTTGTGAAAGCTACCTGAAAACTTTAGACAATTGAACCTACAACGATTTGTAGGATGCTTTAGGCTTACAAATAAAGGTGAATAGCACTAGACCGTAGTACTAAGTGACCACATTCAACTCTATTGTTTAAAGTAAATAAAATCTAAGTAAGATGTATATTGCAAATTTTAAAAACGACATTGATTGATCTTCAACATCTAAGATGTGTCAATTTCATGGACCATTTTTTATTAAAAAAGAGTTATAAAAATAATGTGCATGCCACCTTAAATCAGTAATCTCATGCCCTCCAAATCAGGAATTTGATCAACTATGGGACTAAGGAACTAAGAATGAAAACTTGATCAACTAAGTTTCCTACTACCTCGATTCCTCATTCTTGATAAGTAAACATGTCGTTAGCGCCCTCGAATGAGGTTAAAGTTCTCATTAACGCAAACGGGTTTGATATAAGCACTTTATCGATACGAAAGAGCCAAACTTACAACAAAATTCAACTGTCATTCTTCCAGATTAGTAACAAAAAGTTCTCCAACATATGCTCTTTTCTTTTACATTTCATTTCACCTCTTGCACTTCACTCTCTTTTATTTTCTTTCCATTTTTTACCTCACCCACCAATCAAAAAAAATATCTTGTGAATTACATCGTCTCTGGAATGACGTAATTACTGTAAAAAGAAAGTTACTATCTACATAGTGGAAGTAATTTACAATGTCGTCCTTTTTTTTTTATTTTCTTTCAACCTGTGACTCTAACTCTGTTTACAACCAAACATATTTTTATGGAGCTCTCTTAAGTCTATTTACGCCTTTCCTTCAACCTACTTAACAGCTATGCACCCTCCTTCCCCTTCCACCCCGATCCCGCCTCCCAGAGGAGTGTTGCTGCCATCATTCTCAACCTGTGTAGTGTCTGAGGCAGTGTCGTCGATGCTCAAGTTTGAAATTTCACCGCCAAGGGAAGAACAGCTTTCATCCTCTCCGCTAATAGATGTTGCCGGTGACACGTCAACAGGGGATGGCAATCTTTCTGTGTCATCAACTGGTAGTTGCAGACTCCAAAACATAATGCTGGCTGTTAGTGTCAAAAGCATCTTCTGATTCACCTGCAATAACATCACAATAATGACTCGATGTTAGTTGAAACTGCAGTTTATGAAGTTATATGAAACCCAAAAGTTGTGCTTGTCTATAAAGTTCAAGGGCACGTCGGTATTTTTTTCTCTAAAACGCAAAACTTCAAAATATTCGGCCACAAACCATACTCGATTAAAATGGTGTGACAATATCATTCTAATAAACCATGCACGCCATCAAAATGATGAGAAGGTGTCACTACTTTAGTCTCTAAGTATTAAATGAGGTAAATCAACAAAAGAAACATTGCAGTTGGAGTCATTCGTTACCTCCATGATGTCCTCAGGCAACAAGAATATGGAACAGCCAAGCTTCCGTGCAACGCTGACTATGTATGTAGCATTCAACTTCTTTTCATCAGCTATCATGGCACCCAAAAAAGCACTTTTTCTCATTAGTACTTTACTCAAACTTGGCCAATTGGTCAAAGGCCATTTCTTGCTCAGCTGAAAACGATGTTGCAAAGAAGCTTACCACTTTCACCCTTAGTAACAAGGTTCCAATTGACAACTCTAGGCTCCACAGCACTGAGAAGCTCGAGAAAGAAAATCCCGTTTGACAGGCTCTTATCCTGGAAAAAAATCCCAGGTTTCAGGATACAACATAGAAACATCTCTAGAATTATGACTGCGCTTAAACTTAAAAATGAAAACAGGTTTAGTCTGTTTGAACCTTAAAACTCTCCATTTGAGAAGTTCTGCCTGTGCTTCTGACTTTGTTGTTAGCCCACTTTAAAATATCAGTGTCCGTCATCTCCTTTCCTTGGGAGTGAGATCTTAGATTTTTCAAAAGTTGAAGCATATTAAACCTCATCAACTGCCATAGGAATGCTGAAAAAAAAGGAAAACAAACTTTAGTATTTAACAACAAATTCTCAATAAACAAAGAGATGACGAATAATCCAATTCAACAAAAGGAGAAAACATTTTATTTATTTATTAACTGCAAGTAGCAAACAACTAGACATCATTTTATTCTTGAGAATAGAAAACGAAGAAGTTTAACATAAAGTCAGATTGTCACCCTCTGAAAACAGATTTATGTACTTTATTAATAAACTACATCATGCAACTCCATTGCAGAACTCAAATAAAACTGAGGTAGTCAGTGAAATCAATAGAAGATAACAAGAGCCAGCAACGAATAAAATTCAATGTAGTATTTATCCAGTTGCTGCTAAGCTCAAAAGCAAAGGGACTAGGAAGGTGCACACAAGGACATATTGATGAGTGAAAATTACCAAGTATGAGTTTCTTGTTTCCCTGCACAATATCATTTCCAGCTACATTCACCAGCGAGAATTTCAGTTGCTTTCCAATCCTTACAACTTGATTGCAATTCTCCACTTTTCTAAACGGCATTCTAATTGGAGGCTTTGATGCTTGCTTCCAGTTAACTGAACCTGGTGAAACCTTATCGAGTACTTCTAATAGTATCCATCTGCATACAAGAGTTATAAAAGTAAATCCCACATATAAGAGGCTTGAGAAAGCGAAAATCATAAATTACTCAGGAAAAAGCAATGTAACTATCTCTGTCAATTGTCAAATAAACTAAATAATTTTGGCGACATGCAACTCTTCTCGCATGTTTTAATCATAATCAACAACTTTTTGAAATATAGAAAACTTTTCAAGTTAATGACTGTTTCTTACCCATTTCTCACATCCTCAAACACATTATTAACATAACTACCAATGCCTAGACTGTTGATCCACAGCCGGAAGCATCTCTCTTCTCTTGATGTTTGCACATCGTCTGTCATCATCTCTGCAAAAGAAATTTTCTTGCTGTCTGTAGAGAGGCCATTCCTGCACACGGACATGGTATATTCAAACAAAATACCAAAATTATCAAGTAAACACACGCACACACACCCAGAGACAGAGACACGGAGCAGGGAGGGTAGGGAGGGGAGAGGGAGGGAGGGAGTATGACAAGACCAAAATCTAGGCTACTAGAAGGACGTGATTCCATCAAATTCTTTTGACAACATATCATATGCAGAATTGTATGCCTATGCTTATCCTCAAAATTCTCTACCTAATTAGTTCCATCCCATATAATACGTCTTTCGTAAAACAAAACAAAAATAATACAAAGTTACTTTCTGACTATAAAAGATAGTGATAGTTCATTTCCAACCTTTCATGGAATATTTGTGCCACAAATGCCAGATTTAAGTTTGAAGAACCCTCGAGAATGTCTTTTGGAGTCAAGTATCTTTTGCAGTTCATTCTCTCAGCATGATCAAGAACCAACTTTGCCCTTTCATTGGGTTTGGCATCCAATGTAGCGGGATTGCAGTGTTCTGGAGCAAGAACATTAAGTAGGTAAGCATAAGCTTCTCCATCCTGTGCTTGGATTACAAATCATGGAAAAATAATCAGATGGTTTAAAGGTCAATTCAAATTGTGAGAAACCAATAATGAAACAGCGGTAGTAAGCAGTGAACTGCAAGTTCTGATTGAATGAATTATGAAGGGGCTAAGTGAGGAAAGAGGATATCACTTGCAAATATTTAAACCAGAACAAATCTCATTAACAATACTAGTCCTTCACTCTCTTCTATACCAGGACAAATATATTCTGCGTTATATTACCTGTTCTATAAATCAATCAGATCATTTCTTTTCCAAGTTAGTTTGCGTTGGAGAAATAACCAATCGTATTAAGAATGCTAAATTCCTTACCACCTACCCGCAAAAAGAGAGAGAGAGAAAAAAACCACAAGAGGAATAATTATGGCACTGCTACTGTGCTAGATGTTCCTAGATATACAAGAGGAATGATAAAATACCTTCACGTCAGAAGAAAAGTTTGAAACAGGTTTCTTGTAGCCTGCTTTTTCGAGGTGAAAATTCATCCATTTCAACAAGACCTTCTCAGGGGGTAAACTCAAAAGCTCTTCAACATCCTGTGACATAATAATACAAGAGAAAGAAAGTCCTTAACAAATTCTTCTTTTCCAAGAACTTATTAACTACAAAGTTTTCAAAGATAAGACTACGTGAAAAAATTCCAAACTGGATAACCTTGCTATCATCCACCAATTCTACAAGCTGAGGTGTCTTCTTAAGATTAAGATCTGCCAACAGTTGGATCTGAAGTTTCCATATTGGTTTCATGCAAAAAAAAAAAAAGTGGAAAGAGTCAACTATATGAATCAGTACTCCAACTTGCTTAATTTCTCTGTGGTTATGCTAAATTTAGTGTCAAAAATAAACTTTAGTTACCTACCTTTATAATTTGCGAAATCAACCCCAATACCAGATGAGGCTGCAAATAAAAATAACCAAAACAAAAATTTAGTATCCAAAAATACACACCAAACTAGTTTCAGAACCAAAATTTTAAACGTACTCTTCCTTCAATCAGGTCCTGTGTGCCAATGTTAACCACTGTGCAGCCAATGGCCTTGGCAGAGTTGAGGCAAAGAGTATGGTTCTCATTCCTCTCCCATGGGTTGAGAACCCTTTTGGTGTTAATTGCTCGTTCATCTATTGTCCCAGGCACAGCAACATTTATAAGCTTGCTGCATTTGATCAATTACATGAATTTAAAAAAAAAGAATTAAAAACAGCTTTAACTGACATAACTGCATAGACATTAATAAACTGAACCCTGCTTAAATACCAGAGGAGAACTCCATCTTTTGCAAGGTGGAATAGGTCATTTGTAGCTGGGTCTAATGGGAGAAACTGCTTTAGAAATGGGTCATCCCCAAGATAGCTGTTTATGTGAGCCACATAAGATGCTCTCTCAGATTCACTTATTGTATGAAGGAGGGTGGTTGTAGTGGCCTTCAAGAATGATGAAGAGTTCTTTGAACCACCCGATTTTGCTGTTGTTTGCCCTTGCAAAATTAAGAATGCCTGTGCAATTTGTGCAAAAATTAATATGTGAAATCCTATAAATTCCCTTGTAAATGTAGCAAATTACATGCAACGGCTTACACACCTAACTACACAATAAGCAGAATGAAAACATAAAAAAACATTTCTTCTGATCTGGGACTTCTTTCGATTAAAAAGGGTGGTATAGTACTATGATACAACAAACTGCCACACTTATTCGAATCTAGAGAGGGCAACACACATATGCAGCCCTGCCCCTGCATCAAGCAAGCTGTTTCTGCAATTTGAAGTTTTAAACCAACGACCTCCAATCGTTATGCTTATACCTACTTTGTTCAGCACTACGATTAACTCAGTAACATGCATGGGGGAGTGAGTGTGTGAATGTGCGTGTGTGCGTGTGAGAGAGAGAGAGAGAAAGAGAGAGGGGGGGGGGGGGGGGAAGAAAACAAAGAAACAATATGAATCACCTTAAGGAAGGATTCAAAATCAATCTCGTCGCTGAAGTCAGACTCCAACCCGCTTAAGCTACCTCTGATCTCCTCCTCAGAATACATTTCTCTAAATGCCTTTAATTTCATCATTAAAGGTGGCAAATCTCCAGCCAAAACTTTACCATTCTGATTCTTCACTGAATTAAACTGAAAAGAAAGCCACATATTAAAGAAAAACCATCACATAACATCCAAAAATCCCAAACGATATCAAAATTCAGACTCTTGTACACTTTAAACATCAACTGGCTAGGGAACAAATTATACATACTTTGGATTCTAGACTGCGAAGCTCAACCTGCGTGAACTGGCTTTGAAGCGATTGATCCATAATGTGAACACCCACATAACTTGACATCTCCACCAATTACCAAGTGGAGAAGAAAACGATTTCTCAGTTTTTGAAATCTTCCTCAGATTTCACTGCTGGAGAAAAATCTAGTATGAATATATCAAGCAACAATTCATTAGTCTCCAGAATCAGAAACACAAAGCAAGGCAGCCTAAATTGTGCTCTATAAAATCACCAACCTATCCTACTCTGTCAAATCCATCATGATGAATATGCCAAATTAAGGCATAAACTTAATTACTGAACCAACGGAATAACGATGAAAATGACAAATCGGAAATCTAAATCCGAATCAGAAATATATTTTCTGCATTGAAGCACCAAATCTAATAAAACAGTAAAACAAACAACATCAACATGTTAAAACATCCAGTGGAGTACAATTCTGAGTCTGTTCATCCTCTGACATGCTAATCATGAACAAAAACAAAGAAAGGTAAGGATTTTGAATCAAACCCAATAAACAAAACGCAGAAGTGATCAAAACCCGAAGTCCAAGTACCAGTAAATATCAAACGCAGAAGTGCTTCTGTTCTTAAAAGTGCTTTTTCAAGAACAAAGTTTGCAAACGAATCAAAACCCAATAAAGAAAACGTGAAATCTACGGCAACCCAGAATTCCATACCTCCAGAAAATCAAGAACATGCACTGAAACCAATGCCCAAATGGATCAATTACTTAGTTCCCCTCAGAACATCGGTGCCCGAGAACCATCCAACACGTATAATGCAGAAAACAGAGAGATGAGTTTGAGAGAGAGACAGGATCGATTTTCCTTCGTGGGGGAGCAAAGTGCGAGAGAGAGAGAGAGAGAGAGGTGTATGGTAACAAGGACGGACCCGCTGAGAGTCCATACCAAGACAGCCGAGAGTTTACTGTCTCCGAGAACCCGAATCACGCAGCGATTTGCGTACGCGCGCGTGTACGTTTTGGTTTGGTGGACTCGCTCGTTCTGTTTTACAACGCAGCGCGTGGGTGTACACCTGTTTGGTGTCTTCTTAAACCACTTTTGGAGACTTTTTGGACTCTCTCTCTAATTTCTGTATTTTTATTTATTTATTTTTCATTTTTATCCTTTTCTGTTTTTTTTCTTATCACAGAATTTTGGTGACACATAACACACATGTGTCCATCAAATACCAAAGCATGCCATTTTTGAAGATCAGGTTGGGGCAGGGATCCTAGGCATGTTGTTGTTGTTATGGTTGTAATTGTTTTTTTTTTTTTTTTTTTTAAAAGATGACAACCGGTAGCAACTTATGGTTATTCATTTCTCTTGAGGATCGGAAAGACTTATAGAAACATTTCAACCTCGTTCTAACCACAAATCTGTCTTTCTAGGCATGTTGTTGGATTGATATAGATTAGAAAAATATACACGGAACGCATGACTTATCTTTTATTTAGACGTTAATGTATAACGTTTTAAGTTAACATATATTTGTGTTTTTTGGTACTCACTGTAGGTCAGGTAGAAAAAATTATGTTGAGCAGTCATAAGACTCATAACAGGTCGATTTATATGCCAACGGCTACGAATCCAAACAAAACCTGTGACTCTGTGAGTTAACGTCGGAATAAGGGAATTTTGGTAGTGACAAAAGTTTCATATTAAGGACTTAAATTGAGAGGGAAATGTTAGGACATTTATTTATTATTGTATTAATTGGCGCAAGTATTGAATCAAAGGCTTTGTATGGGTAGTTGAATTGGCACTTCTTTTGGTAATTGGCATGACTATAACTTTGTGTTGAGACTTGGGAGTTCGGAACCACGTTAACTGGTATAGCGGTAAGAGCGTGAACTATGGCTTTTTAATAAATAAGAAAATGTGGGAGGTTCTAAGTTTAATGTTCCGAGCTGGTGATCTTCTTGATTGTAGCTACGGACAATGTGAAATTCTCCATGATCTCTCTGGGCCCGGAAGAGATGGATAAATGTAGTTTACCACCAATTGTCCTTTTTTTCTTGAAAAAAAAGACTTGGGAGTTTGGTGCTATGGATTTTATGTTTACGTATTAAAATTATAATTAAATACTCATATTGAAAATACAAAGCGAGATCTAGAATTATCAATAACAACATGCAAAATTTGTCAGCTGAATATGCTTCTAGAAAATAATTAATCTATGAGACTATTTTGTCTCAAAAGAAAACAATTCTAGAGTTACCAAAAAATTAATTTTGGGTGATTGAAGTACTAATTAAGAGAGTTTTTATTTTTAGTATGAAATATTTTTTTGTGTATTTTTCTCTTTGTATTTGTGTATTCATGTAAGATACCACATCGCCCAAGGGAGTGAATCTTGTAAGTCGTATATGTATATTCTCATCTCTACCTAGCATGAGGCCTTTTGGGAGCTCACTGGCTTCGGGTTCCATGGGAACTCTGAAGTAAAGCAAGTAGCGCGCAAGAGCACTCCTATGATGGGTGACCCACTGGGAAGTTCTCATGTGAGTTCTCAGAAACAAAAACCGTGAGGGCATGGTCGGGGCCCAAAGCAGACAATATCGTGCTATGGTGGAGTTAAGTCTGGGATGTGACAATTTTGTATCAGAGCCTAACCATGGTCGTGGTGTGCCGACAAGGAGTGGTCGGGGCCCAAAGCAGACAATATCGTGCTATGGTGGAGTTAAGCTCGAGGATGTGACAATTTGGTATCAGAGCCTAACCATGGTCGTGGTGTGCTGACAAGGACATCAGGCCCCTAAGGGGGTGGATTGTAAGATCCCACATCGCCCAGGGAAGTGGATCATGTAGGCCTTATATGTATATTTCCATCTCTACCTAACACGAGGCCTTTTGGGAGCTCACTGGCTTCGGGTTCCATAGGAACTCTGAAGTTAAGCGAGTAAAGCGCGAGAGCACTCCCATGATGGGTGACCCACTAGGAAGTTCTCGTGTGAGTTCCTAGAAACAAAAACCGTGAGAGCGTGGTCGGGGCCCAAAGCGGACAATATCGTGCTATGGTGGAGTTGAGCCCAGAATGTGGTGAGGGTTCGGGCCGGGATGTGACAATCCAAGAGTGAACAATGATTTTATTTAAAGTGCTAATAATAATTTCCGTAATTAATCAGGTAAAACACAATGGTATTGGTTATCATGATTCTAAAGGAAACTAGTTAGTGACTTCGCTGAAAAAACTCATAGAGACACATTTCAACCTCCTCACGACTGTTATTTTATGATTCACCAGTGCCAGGAATTAGTAATCATGATATGAATCTTGATTGTTATTCTTACTTGGTGACAAAGAAGTAATGGGTAGAGGGTTGAGCAAGGCAGATAGATACATCAAAAGTAGACCAAACGTAGATCTAGATGGTAAATAATTGAAGCTTTGTATAGTATAATTGTAAATTAATGTATTACCTGCCATTTTTCATGAATTGATTGATAAGTATAAAAATGGTTCACTGAAGGCCCCATGTTTGCATGTCAACTTTGTACAGATATTTGGTGTGTCCCAGCTCCTCCTTTGAAGTAAGTTACAATCCAATGAGAAAATATAACATAAAATATGGACCAGGAAAAGTGATCCTTTGGTGATTAAAATAGTAAACTCTTATAGGAAGTTCGTGGTCTCCACAACTTCTCTTCCCTTCAAGAGATTGGTTGCTAAGGATGTGTTATACACACTTTTTTTTTTTTTTTTCTCTTACTTCTGACGTATTTTTTTAATTTTTTATCGTCAGAACGAATAAATTAAAGAATATCAAATGACAAAAATTAATAAAAGATGTGTAAGAACTAAAAACGGGTGTATGAATATTACATTCTTTTTTAAATCTCTTTAGACAATGTACTTTTTCAAACTTTTTTATTTTGTGGTCACCAATTGTACAAGAGACGAACTTACCTACAATACAATATGTACGTTTTTCTCTTATTTCTCGTTTCGTGTGATAAATATGGGTGTACATTTAAATCAGTAAACAAGTATCAAGTGAGCCAACAAACTAAAGAAAAAATTGATTTCACCTAAATTGGTTGCTTATTTTCGGGTGTAGCAAATGGAGTCCACCCTTTTAATTTAGGAAGTTTTAACGAAATACTTCCGGTACTGTTCATTTTTAACGAAAAACTACATTTTTACCTTTCCCTAATACTATTCACTAAATATTTATTTGTCATTTTTCATTAAAATTAAAGTTTTTTTTTTTTTTTTTACTTTTCATTAGTTTTCCTTTTAATTTATAAGCACATTTCAAGCATGTTGTTCTCTTCATATAATAATAGCATTTGCCTACACACTTTGTATGTATGAACATATTTTTTTAGAAAATGAGAGAGGGAGAGAGAGAGGGAGAGAGAGAGAGAGAGAGAGAGAGAGAGAGAATGTGAGGGGAGTGAGAGGTTTTTGTTTTTGGTTTATTTATTTATTTATTTTAAATATTAGAGATATTTTAACAACACCTGTAGGTGAGACTTCAATAAAAAACAGTAAAATTTAGACATGTGAAATTACATTATTGCCCATCATTTTTTTTGTGTGATAGAATACTAAATTGTCTTTTCACCCTCTTTTAGTTGGCAAAGAGATTTCATTAATTAATAAATATATACACCTTAAGCTTATTTGCTAAAGCAATTTTTTCACGTTATAATAACAGTTTAATTTGAAAAATAGACAAACTAAAGTTGATCAATAACGCATATGAAATTGTACACTAATTCACAGTAAAGACGAAGGAGGAGAGTTTAATTATGAGATGCAGTGAGTTAAAGATAAATATTTTAACTATGAGAGATGATATTGATTGATCAATCTCTCAAACTCAATAATAGTAGCGATTCTGCTCCCTCATGAAAAACGAAAAAAACAAAAAACAAAAAAAAAAAACCAAATAATAGTCCAGTCTTTTGATAAAATAAAATAATAGTCCAATCTTTGGATTAAAAAAATACAAATAATACTTGATAAAAATTTTGAGTCAATCAGTTGCTTCCATGTCTTTGGAGAAACGAATTATGTCACTGACAGTTTAACAACTTTAGGGCACTCTTAGTATTCATAGGAAAGTGTTATTGACATTCTAAAAATCTCATTCTATACTCGTCACAAATATATTTTTCTTTCCTAATATAGAACGTTTGAAGTGTAGAATGAGATTTTTGAAGTGCTAATAACAATTTCCTATCATATTGTATTTGGCTTAATTCTGTTGTTAGTTGTGCAAAAATAAAAGCCTCGCAGTTTGATAACTTCTTGTACTGAATGTCCTAGAGACATTTTTGTATAATTTTATTTTCCTTCTAAAAATAAAAGATTTTTTTTTTTTTTTTGGTCAGGTTACACTGACATTCATTCGTCCCCTTAATTAAGTAGTAGCCACCGCCCACGACCGACCGCTGCATCATTCCCATATTCCTGCTCATGTGCAAGCCACCACGGCATCCCAGTTTTTCTTTTTAAATGCAATCTTGGAGTTAATTCACTCCTTAGATTGAAATGAAATATGATGATACCAAAAAGATAAAAGAGTAAGGAGAAGAATGGTATCTTGCATAGTTGCATTGATGCATATATACACACAAAATGAACTCTAGTAGACAGCATGATATAATAGAACTTCGATATATTATAACTTCAATTGCAAGTGGCGTTTACTATAGTGATGGAAAAATGTTGAGTCCTTACCTGACGGTTTGAGTTTAAATTTCGTCGGTAACTAATTTAATATCTATTCTAATAAAGTTTATGTTTGACAAAATAAAAAATTAATAACTGTTGCAATCTTATTGGATTAGGAATGTGATTGTGTAAATCTAAGTATATATGTGAGTATCTAGTTTCTTCCTATTAGGAGTTGATTACCTATTAAGAGATGTAATTATAAAAGGGTAAGG